CTCTTGGGTGCGAGGAGTTTATAGAATCTAACATCAAGTCGTCGGCATGTTTACGTGCGAGACTACAACGATATGTCACCGATGGTGGGTTTTTGTGCTATTGCACGGGTCTTGAGGATGTGCCTCGAATCATTGTTCCTCATAATGAGGACTTGAAGTATCTTATTCTCCTTAAGATACATAACACTGCTTTGAGCGGTCATCTCGGTCGCAAGAAGACATGTAGCTCAGTTAGCCAGACGTATTGGTGGCCAAAGTTGTAAGAATGGGTGAGCACATTTGTGCGTACATGTGAAACGTGTCAACGGTATAAACTCAGCACATGCGGCTGCACGGCTTACTATTTTGCTTGTACCCACTGGGTGTTGGGAGTCCATGAGCATGGAATCTGTGTTTGTCCTACAGAAGGATTCGGACGGCAACACAGGTATTGTGATCTTTGCTGACCGTTTAAGCAAGATGGCTAATTCGGCGGTTGTGCTTGATTTTTATCGATGGTAAAGGTACAGCGATGCTGTTTTCCTACCGTGTGTTTCATCAACACGGTTAGCCGGTGGCAATTGTTTTCGAATGTGATACGCGTTTAACTGGCAAGATTTGGACTTTTATCTTCAAGTTGCTGGGCACCAGGTTGGACATGTCCACAGCGGATCAAATGCAGACCAATGGTCAAACTGAACGTGTCAACCGTGTCAATGGTGACATTTTTCAATGTGCTTGTGATGATACGCCTAGGCGTTGAAGCTCTATGCTTCTGTGGTCAAATTTGCGTTAATTTGACGCTGTTCATGCCTCTCCTGGATTTACTCCATTCTACGTGAGTGGTCTCACTCTTTCAAGAGTTCCATTAATGCTCCCACTACGTGGATCTGGGCTCGGTGGGGGAGAAATAGACGATCAGCTTGCTGATGTCATCCCAATTACTGTTCAGAATCAGATGAGCGAGTTATTTATACGCGGTTGAATGTGTTATGGCATGTACGTGACGCAATGGCTGATAGCCAGGACAAACAAAATAAGCTGATGCCAAAGGCAGAAAGTGTATTAGAACTTATGAGATTAAAGACCTCGTCTTACTCAACGCTAAAAATCTACCTATCAAGGTGGTGTCAGCGGTCGGTAGGACCAAGTTGCGTTCTTTATTTATTGTGCCGTATACGGTTGTGCCCAAGAAGGTCCTATCCTACACGCTCAATCTTCCACGCAAGATGCGAACACACCCACTGTTTTACGTCGGTTTGCTTAAACTTTACCTTGATCCGTCGAGAGTGGATCACGAGGCGATTTGCCGAAGGAGTTGGCGATGCCGCAAGTCAAGGAACCCTCAAGGGAAGATCTAGTTGTCCTTCAAGACGCGCCACCCGATCACGATGACCATGCACCTCGTGCACTAACTCGCCGCCGAAGCGTCGAGATATAATGAGCCACTGCCTGCTCTCGTCGACGAGCAAGATGATCAGTAAGTACCATGTTGAACAAATTTTGCAGCGACGTCGTCGCGACGGTCAGTGCCAGTACTTGGTACAGTGGTGGGGGTTCACCTAGTCGGAGAACTAGTGGGAGTACGAAGTGCCACTGCATCATGATTATCCGTACACCGTTGACGTTTTTAAACTTCGTATTCAGGGTAAGTCAACTTATATAGCTACCCACTAGTGGTTGTGGATGTGGAGGAGATTGCAGCTGCGGCAGGTGAAGGTGCACTGAGGCGCGGATCCGTGGTTTTTAAAAAAAAATTTTTTAATTTTTTTAATTTTTTATATTAATTTTTAATTTTTTTTTTTTTTTCTTGCCACAGCATAGTAGCGTGTGCGATAAAACGATCGCAGTTGGCCTTTGGCCTTTTATTGGAGTATTCGAAACTCATTTCCGTTCCAGCCCAACATCGGCAAGTGAAGCGCTCTTTTGAAGATTTCACTGGCTTGGCAGAAGACGTGCTCTGTGAGCCCAACGCGTGGGTGTGATATCATAGTCCGCATCTGTGTCACCAGGTAAGAGAACGACATGTACTGTTCGCATGGCGGACACTCACGCACCTCGTTCTTGCAGATTTAGATTGTCGAGAACATTTTGAACGCTTATTCACTTAACCCCTAGGTATCTCGCTCTGAGAGCCTCCTTCTTCGCGAGTGTTGTAATTGTGTTAGCCTCATGTCCCGTGATCAATGTTGCGATGGACTTCCCGGCATTATGACGAATGTGTTCATCCATACTCGGTTGTGTGAAGCAGTTACCAATGTGAGCGTACGCTGTGGCTACACATTGTGCTTAACGCCTTCGGTCATCGGACGACTGAACATATCTTGCTTGATTTTCTTCAAGAGGGTTGTGGAACACACCCGACACAGGTTCAACGGCTGCACGCTTTGCAAGAGCACAGCGTGATCCTCACGTTCCACGAATAAATTAGGTGCGACGCGCGTGGTGTCGCGCTCCGGTGGTGTAGCCGGAGGATGGATACAGACATTCGGCACGCCAGGGTCACTCCCATATTCGACCGTACCCTCATCAAAAAAATTCTACGAGTGTATTGGACGAAGGCTTTGATTCAGTCATTTTGAGATGTGTTGCGAGTACGATGATCATGAACAGAGCTTTAAGACCGACAAAGCAAAGAAAAATTGAAGACACAAGGGTGTCGACAGTTTGGTGGGGGAGGGTGTAAACGGGTTACTCGGCAGGTATTGGACCGGTTTTGTTGTGTGTCCACACCATGTAAAGTTCGGTGGATCTAAATGGTATAGTATTGGCACCATGAACTAACGGTACACTGCACCTTAATGGTCTGGTATAACGGATAATACTTCTGCCATAGGATCGCAATGTAGAAGTCAGTCAGACAAGTGTCGTGGAGTGGGTTGTCAAAACTGTTTGACGAGACCTTAAACCACTTACTGTGCCGGACTGCCGACTGTGGGAGGGGGTACCCCAATGCCGCTTATGGACCTTGACTCACCTTGTGCACCCGTCGGCTTGGCTGGTTTCTCTCTTCGGAGGACTTGGTGATGATGTAGACGTCGGCCTTGATGGAGGTCGACCTGGGGGAGGGGCGAGCGGATATGCTTCTGTCAGGATCCGATATAGGCGGCCACTCGATCGACTAAATCTAGAGTGGTCTTATAACTAGTTGTCTCAGGTGATGGTGGCGCCTGGCCTTTACTTGTCTCAGGGGTGTTTATCGCCTGGTCTTTTATGTGTCTTCTCCCTTAACACTAAGGTATGGAGTCCGCTTCCTACAGAGGGCTTGAGTTAGGGGGTGCTACTCGACGAATCCACAGGACCACGTACTTCCTAGGGGTTCTACTTACGCTTGTGTCTTACTGACAACTGTCTTCGTCGGCATGGCCAAACAGGTCCCTGGTCCGGATCAGGTCAGTGGACTTACAAGTTTCTTAGCGCACGACACGTCGTGCTACTTAGATTGCAGATTTAGTAGTATTTAATGTCACCCTATCCTTTGAACGCCTTTACTCTATCCTTGCCTTACACCTTGGTTTGCAATAAAGAGTGACCAGGAGCAATCAAACCTTGAGAAGCCAAATCGACCTATGGGTGACCAGGTCGACCTTGGGCGACCAGGGCCGATCGACGAGTGGTTGAGAACGATCCATATCGGTACCATTTAACCGGGACCGTTGGTCGGTATGAACCCGTTAGCAGTGAGGTTAACCGCCCGTCACGGTTGGAACCAACGGCCGCTCTTTACCGGTGACCCCCAAGTCTTCGGTCCCTTTTTTTGTCCACAAGGTCCCATGTCCGTCCTGATCATCGACTCTTAGGCCATCATTTCCTAAAACTTGCTTCACCACACAAGATTTAGGGGTTTACCAATATAGTTAAAGAATACAGTTCAGTCCCTCTTTCGATTCGTCGGACACAAGTGCCTAGTAAAGACGTAGTGTGTTGTGAGATCGTAGTCCCTTTGGAACCGGGCTTGTACGCTGGTACGCTTGAACGACTGTACGTTGTTGTAGTTTGTTATAACTTATTACTTCTTCGAGTCTTAAACTTCCTCTGTTAAGGAGCGCTAGATAGCTCCGCTACAGTTCTGGTCAAACTTTTAAATTGCGTCAGCGTTAAGAATGTTCCCTAAAATTATTCCCCGTAACTAGCGCACATCACTAAACATCTTCAGCTTGTAGGTCTTGGTCGTTTTCATTTTATGGAATCATTTTCCTTGGCGAATGGCGTTTCTCGTCACCCGATCGGTTTGTCCTGCCACAACTCGCTCTTGTTGGTTTTAGTCTCGAATGTGAGTTTAATACTGGCGTGTCATGCTATGTTACAGCTGTCGATGCAACGCAAGCAAGCTATCTACATTCGAGGTAGCGTGCCCCAATAGACGTTGAGTCGTCAAGCTAAGTTACATCGCTGCTGGCAAAGGGTCTGGCGCGCGAGGACTGTGTTGACTAGAAAGCGTTAAGCTATCAAAGGATTAGGGAAGTTCAAGTGCACGCTTGGAAGTGAAGGAGGTCGTGCTGATTTCACATGTTGCAGTAAAACGTCCATCGAATGGAGATGATGAGCTATAGTGACCCTAAAGCTTCTTGTTTTGTATCTTCAGAACTACAAGTTGACCTGCTGATACGATACGGGACTCACTTCGTAAGCATATCGTTTAGCTCAGTGGTCACTTGTGTCAAGGTACATCCACCTCATGTCTGCCATATGCTTGCTATGCTTTATCATGTCACCAGCTTGCAGAAGCATCACAGCGGTCATGCTTCAATATGCTGTTCCTAGCAATCAACATGCAAAGATCCTTCGCAGCCAAAAGAACGACGTCCTTCGTCTTGCCCCTGTGCATGGCAACGCGAGTGGTCGACGCTTACGAGCACACTACATTATGCTATTGCAAACAATCGATCGTCGCACTTCGAAACCGTCGCTCTCTCACTTAATCAGTCGAGACAACTGCAACTCTGATTTGCACCCGCCCGACCCCACCCCCTGTCTATCACTCTGAGTCCAATCCGCGCACTTCCAAGCTCTCGAGCCACATGGCGCTCTACGTCTGGGGCCACAACACGTCGCAGCAGCTCGGACTCGGTGTCGCCGACGACCAAGTCGTCGAAGTGACGCAAGTACAAGCGCTACGCAATGAAGTGATCGTGGCTTTTTCGGCCGGGGAGCGCCACTCACTCGCACTGAACGAATTCGGCCACGTGTTTGCCTGGGGCCGCGGCCGAGAGGGTCAACTCGGGCTGGGCGACGTCATTGGCGTCACTGGGGCCGTGTCGACGCCTCGTCGCATTCATGACGCACTGGCCAGTCACTTTGTTACGAACGTCTCATGTGGCGACTCGCACTCACTGGCGCTCACGGTCTCAGGTGACGTGTTCATGTGGGGGCTATTGCCCGTGACCAACATTCTGCCGCATGCTACGGATGACGCGTCGGACCGACAGACAGTCGCGCTGATGGGCCTGTCTCAGGCAGAAGTGCCGCGGGGTAGGGTTGAAGAAGAAGAAGAAAAAGACGGGGCGCCGGCCATGCGTCACCCAGGAGGTTCGCGCGTCATGGCTCGTCTGCTGGATTCCATGCACGACGTCTATGAACACGCGACGAACGACGAGAACATTAAGGTGCAGACGGTGCGTGCGTCGTGCCGGACGCCCCGTCTATGCACCGGTGTACTTGTGAGACAAGTTGTGACCAACATAGCCGCGGGATTCGCCCATTCTTTGGTCACGACGCGCGACGGGGCGGTCTTTAGCTGCGGATACAATGATAATGGGCAATTAGGCCTTGGCACGAGACGCCATGCAGCTGAATTCCAGCGTATTGAGGCCCTGGAGACGTATCGTATCGACCATATTGCCTGTGGGCAGCAACACTCGCTCGCTTGCTCGAGACTTTTGGATGCTTCGACTCGTTTGAATGACCATGACGATGTGCGATCCGGCGTGTGTTTCTCGTGGGGGTTTGGAGTCCTCGGGCAGCTTGGAACGGGCGCTCACATCGCGTGGAGTCCACAAGAAGTGAAACTCGTGCGCCCAGCCGTTTCTGTTGCAGCAGGGAGTCACCATAGTGTTGCAGTCACAGATGATGGCAACGTGTATACGTGGGGTCATAGTGAATACGGCCAGCACGGCGCTGGTGAGACGTTTAACGATCTCCAGCACAGCGCTCACTACTTTTTCCCTCGATTGCAACAAGCGCTTGCTGACGATCCTCATATCCACGTGGAAAGCGTGAGCTGCAGTTCACACGCGACGTTTGCATTGACGCGGGATGGGTCGCTCATGTCGTGGGGCTGGAATGCTTTTGGCGTCTTGGGTAATGGCAAGTACCAGCACTCGGTGCACCCTCAGCGAGTCTTTGGACTCAAGGATAACGTCGCTGTCGCAGTCGGAGCAGGATCGAACCACTGCGCAGTGGCCGTGCGACCACGTGGAGCTCATTACTCGCTGAGCTACGATCGGGTACTTGCAAACGTGGATTTCGCCGACCTCGTGTTCACTGTAGGAGCGCCATTGAAACTCGAGCGCATCAAAGCTCATCGGGTCGTTCTGTGCGCGCGTAGCAGCTACATCCGAGGATACTTGCGCATTTTGGATCAGACCGTTGACTCTCAAGCGATTCAAAGTGGCGAACATGGTAGCAAAAAAGAAGGAGATGGAGACGAAGACGTGGTTGCTATCGACTTGTTCCAGGACGTTGATGCGCAGGTTGTCCACGCTTTCTTGACGTTCTTGTACACCAGTCGTCTCGAAGTTGTCAGTCATAAGCGAAAGGCGCTAGGCAAGTTTGCAAGCAGCGTCTGCTGCGATGCACTCGTGGTGTTGTGCCTTGACACGTGGCGTAAAGAACGAGTAGCGTCGCAATCATCGTCCTCTTTACGGCCTTCAGGATCCCCCTTAGGAGACCAATCTGCTACTTCGGAAGCGCGACAATTTGGGGAAGATATGCAGAGAATGGTGCTGTCTGAAGCACTTGCAGACGTCGTGTTGCTATGGCCGATCGAAGAGGATCCAGCCGTCAAGACGTTCGAGCGTTTACCAGCACACAAAGCTGTGCTTTCACAAGTCAAGTACTTCCGCACGATGTTCATGGGTGGCTTCAGGGAAGGCAAGACGTTGCAAAGGACAATAGGGGACCCGACAGACTCGATCCATGAAGTCTCACTGCAGTATATGCACCGCGACGGCGTCTCGCTCGAGGCGTTCAAGAGACTATTGCTCTGGATTTACACGGGCAGCTTTGAGCTCTTGAGCGCCCAACTCGATGAACCAAGCGAGCTCATGGATTTGTATGTCGGTGCAAGTCTCCTTGGTCTCACGGTGCTGGCCAACAGATGCGAGCTGCAGCTCGTAGAGCTTTTGCCTCAGCTAGGTACCGACTCGTTGCGAGCATGCGAAGATTTCGCCGAGCGATACGACGCCCAGCGATTGCAGAGTATGAGCCAGCAGGTGCTCAAGAAACAGCTCTCGACGAATGATTGAAACTTTCGACGCGTTTTTCGTTGGCTTGACAAGTCGCACACACACGTGAGAGCCAGAAGAGCGTCTTCAAAACTGCATCAACGCTCGTATTACGTACGTACTTGACAGTGGTCGTGCAATGTAGGACATGAGTAATACACAGCGTGGCACACGGAAGGGAGGTCCTGCATGCCACTCTTGCAACCAACAACCAAGCAAGCAACGAACTACCTTTTGGGTCAATCAGCTGGAAGCCAGAGTCTTCACTCACTGGCTTCCATTGACGTATAGGTGCCAGCAGGTCACTCACTGTCAGACGTAGCATTGTTCAAGGTAGTTCGAAGTAGTCCAGGGACCTACCTGCACGGGTTGAATTAGTAAAGGGTGCACGTGCTACTATAGCCCACGCTCGACTGGGCTCTTCTGAGCGCAAACTGGACGACTGTGGTGTCCGAGCTCTTGGCTTCAATGCCTCATCTCCCTCGGCCTCGTTTGACTCGTCGCGTGTCGAATCGACTCGATGCAAGGCTATCGCTGCCTCATATTTACGGGAAGAAGGGCGCTTTAGACGCTCTGATCATTGAAATAGATGCTCATTCTCGTAACGGAAGGGGGTGGAAGCAGGGTGTGGATGACTGCCGTCATAGGGTGCCGCCTCTTTGTCCTACATCTAGCCGCTAAATGGTGGCAGTCGTCACTTACGCCATGCCAGCTGGCCAACGCACATCACGGACGTTTATTCCATTGCGAGGATCGGATCGTAGTCACGTCAAGTGCCTTAGAACCAGCTTGTTCGTCGTCACTTGAAACGTGACAACAAAGCTGCATCGCCGTCCCGATACTGCGCACAAGGACGTTCGGGTGGACCAAATCCGTTCACAGATGCAAGACGCAGGCCGTGTCTATCCGGACGCAAAAGTCTCGACGACACCACTCTCTCTCACTCTATCTCTCTATCTCTCTCACTCCCTCAACTATCAATCAATCGATCGATCGATCCACTCACTCGACGCGAAAGAGCCGCACCGAAACTTCACGCGAGCACTGGATGGATTTTTATGCGATCGTGCCGCGTCCTCACGTAATCAAGCACGAGGCCGCAGCAATCAAGTCCGCGAGTCGATAGGACGCACCCGGACACGTGCTTTCTTTCGACACGCTCCAGATTCGCACATCCACCTGAACAGCGAAGCAGGAACACCAGCATCCGATCTCTTCGTACCAGTTACTCAGTCAATGACCTTCCAGTGACTCTCCTCTTTTTCCTCCCCTCCCTCGTCGCTGCAAAAGAGACTGTGCTCAAAGTAGCAGCACCACGCGTACGCTCCAAACTACATACACAAGGCCGTAACCTCCTTCCCTACGTCTCCCTCTCTCTGCTCTTCCTCTCTTCCCATCAACCATCAAATGAGTCCTCCGCTTTCCCGTTCTCCCTTCGAGATCCCTGACATCTCGTGCTCGCCGTTTTCATGCCAGCCGTCTCTATCTCTGCTGTCACACGGGCTCCGAAACGTGCCTCATGGGAACATTTAGCCAGCACACAATCGATAGCAGAGCCGCCACCTCCATCCGTCCTCCTGTCGTCGCCTCTCGTACACGATCGACGACGCATCGTCTCCTCTCTCCGCCCTTCCCTTCCCCAGAGACAGACAGACAGACAAGCAGACAAACAGATAGACAGCAGCACTGCTACCAAGCAGCAGTCTCCGTTTCCAACCACATCGACAACCTCCTCCCTTGTCCTCGACCCCCATCACCTCTACCTGCTGCTTTCAGTCGCCACATACCTTCTCTCTCTCTCTCTCGAGTAGTATCAACCCTCGCCTTGTCATGCGCGCCCTTCAGTCGGCCGCCGAAGCCAGCGTCCAGGCTTTATTGCAAGACAATGCCAACTGCGTAGCGCACGTGCTTCAGAGCCACTTTTTCACGCGCACGGCGTCGCCGTCCGTGTCTTCCAGCTGGGAACGGGCCGCGTCTCGCCCGCCAATTAACGTCAGTCCGTACGTCCACACGCGCGACTGCGGCGGTCGACGGCGGTCCACTGCTGCAAGTTGCGAAGCTGTGCTAGGGACGCTGCAAGACGCGATGCACGCCCTGCACGCGGACAACACGAGCAGCTACCGCCGGGTCGAGAGCGAACTCTTTGGTGCCGACCGTCTCTTGGACGCGTGCGTGCTCGAGACGCTCGTCGCGCGCACGAAAGAGACGCCGTATCGCTACGTCGGCTTGAAACACGTCAAGTACCAGTCGTTACTAGATGACGAGCGGCACGCCGAGGAGTTCCTCCTCCTGGAGACCGCGGGGAAGGGCGTGCACCCGCACTCGGGCCACAAGTTTGTGTTCAAGATGCTCCGGTCGGTCGACGTGCCGGAAAAGGAATTTGAAATGCGCTCGGCCAACAGCCACCACGCCCAGTTGCAAGTCCATCGTGGCGCGATCCACGCGATGCTCTTGGTACTTGCCGAGACGAGTCACCGTGGCATCTTGAAGATGAACTTGTGGCTCGATGTCGAGCTCACCAAGTGCACGGAACCTTTCTACGGCGCCTTCTCGAGTCTCCATGACGCCTACAGTTTGTCGATCCGATACCGTCAATTGGTCGAGACGTACGCGGTCACAAGTGGCGATGCGGCCTGTGCCGCCTCGACGAAAACGTCTCGATTTGATCTCCTTGCGCCCCGATCGGACCGCGAACGCAAGTGTCAAACGTGTCAACGAGCGCTCGGGTTCTTCTCGAGGAAGAAGAAACATCTGTGCAGTGTCTGTGGCATCTTTGTCTGCTCGTCGTGCTTGTCGTCCACGTCGTTCCAGAGCTGGAAACTCTGTGGGCTATGCTACCAGCGGAACAAGAACCTCGTGAACCGGACGCGCGTGTCCAAGATGTCGTCTCTTGCATCGGGACTGGGCGGCACGCTCCAGTACATTTCCAGGATCGGACGCAGTCATAGTCGCCAGCGCGACTCGATTCTCTTTGCAACGGCTGAAGCTGCGGGTGAGTTGCCGCCGAACCCGATGCAGGACACGAAACAGCGACCGAGTGAACGCTTTGCAAATCGGGACGCGACCACCAGGAGACGACGGATCGATGACGACGAGATGCTCTTTGATAACGAGATCAAGCCATTGGCGAGGAGCGTCGTGGGCGTCCGTCGAGCTGTGCAAAGTGGAGCAGCACACGGGGACTCGATACGTGGTGGCAATCGACCTCAGCAGCGAGGTCAGAACAGCTTAAGTATGAGCCACGTCGTACCGAGTGAACCAAAGCATCGCACAAGGCTTCAGAAGGCTACAAGGAGCAGTTCGTATGACCCGTGCGAAGACTCGGGCAGTAGTCGAGATGTCAGCGGTTCCTCCTTTGACGGTACGAACGGATCGTTCCGAACGAGTGAGCTCAGCAGTACGCCCGTCCAGATCAGCAGAGGAAGCAGCAGCTTTGTGGAGTCGAATGTTGAACCAGTGCTGTCTACCGATACCAAGACAGCGGGTGGCAGTACGACCAGTGATAGCACCACGAGCTCCGGAAGCGTAGAGCAACCGGGTAGTCCGACGCCGGAGCCGGATCTTCTACGGGTAGGTCCGCAACGCGTGCCAGCTCCAGCTCCAGCTCCATCCAAGCCAGTTGAGCAGCCACGGGCAAACAACTACCCTCCTCGTCGGGCCAATCCGTTGCATTGCGTACCTCACAGCGACCACCGAAGATCTCGTGGCAGCAACTCGTCCCGAAGTAGCAGTTCTTCGTCTTCTCGTCGAAGTCCATCGCCGTCATCGTCCACTCGACGCACTGCTTTCAAGGTATGGGCGTCCGCGTCTGCTGGTCCACGCATGGTATCTCAGAAGACGAGCTCGTCAAGAGAGATCGCCAAGTTTGTAAATGATCCGGACACTACACAGGTGCCGTCCGATTATCTCACCGATGACTTTGGAGCTCCTGATAAACGAGGTCGCAAGGTGGCAAACTTGACCGAACTCGACGATCAGCCGCAGCATGGCCGACTCTATGAATGGATCTAAGTGCCTAGTTGATGGACTAGAACGAGGGTGTCCGGTGGAAGACACCCTTTATAGACTCGTGTGATCCTTTTGGTTCCGAGAGTCACGAGAGAGCTCTCGAGAGACCGAAAGCGCATGTGTTTGCTATTTAACTCGACATCAATTGAATGTCAATGGTTTCTCTCTCCTGGACAAAGAAGTCTACAAGATCACGTTTGTCCATGCTTCACCAGTAATAGGTTTAACGTTGTGCCATCGTCCATCACAAGGATTTCGACAACGGAAGATACTAAGCACAGTGAACTCCTGCATGGATCAATCGTGCAGCTTTTGTACATTACTAAACGACTAGACCCGCTCCTACAAAACACAAGACTCAACTAGGTAAGCAGCCCCTTAAGACATTGCTCCATCGAAAACCTTCGTCTCAAATGTCCACAGCTTGGACGCGGCCGGCCTCAGCCTCAGCCTCGTCGTCGTCCTTCGTCTGGACTCCACTCAGGTACGTGATCTCCGAACGCGACTCCATCATAGCAGCAAAGTCTATATGTGAGAGAGGAGACAGACAGGTAGATAGATAGATAGATAGATAGATGTACAAGAGAGTTAGCCGCACAACAAACAAAGAGCTCTCGTCGGTACAACAACTGAGTCGATCGGACCTGGACACGTATCGTTCGCTGCCGGATCATAGCTCGCCTTCTGCTCCGGATTCTCCTCCGAACAGCGTAGGAACCCGCTTTTGCACGTGACGACGATGTCGCTGTCTTCAACCTTAAGTACAACCAGACCGTGGTGACGCATCAACTCCAGGCCATACTGGCAACAGCCTTGGCCGTTCTCAGCGCATTTCGGGAACGTATACCCTCCGTACGTCACTGCACAGCAGAAAAATAGCAACGTAGCTGCCACCACAACGACGGCGTTCCCATGCTTCGAGGGCATATTGCAATACAATAATGCACTCGCTTTCTGTCGTCACGGATGGAGAATGGAGCATGTGGTTCAACCGAAAGCACGCTGCATTACCTCATGCAATAGCGACTCGACCGGACCCGCACGATCGCGCGCAAAGAAAAGACAAGAGCCGAACACACAAACGTAGCAGAGAACGACGGGATAGTGAAATCAAGTCAAAAGGGAAAGAGCTCCTCGTTTGATCGGATGCCAGCTGGTGTCGTCGAACGTGTTCGTGTCTTTTCTTTGCTCGTTCGCTATTATCTGACTCTCTGTGACTTGCTGACACGTTAAGTCGGTAATATGACCAAGTAGACGATGGCTCCTCTACTCACTCATTCATTCATTCCTCGCAACGGACATCGCGTCTTCTTTTTCAACGATACTCTGGAGATAGACAAGGAAGAAGGGAAGGCGTTGAGACGAAGAAGAGCTACTCACGTTGTTGGGTCGAGAGAGGGAGTAAGTGTTCAGTAGGGTTGTCGCTTCAGGACATTGGTCTCTTCTCAGAAGAAGGTTAGCGAGACAAGGATGGCGAGCTGGAGACGATGGTCGGTATGTGTGGCACTGGCCATTGGGACGACGGCGCTGCTGGTCGCTGAGCAAGAGGTCTCGTCGGTCCATGTCGAAGTTTTCACCAACTCGATCGAAGAGTTTGCGGAAGAAGCGGCTTTCGACCGCAAAAACTGCGAGGTGCACAACGTGACGCTGCGTCATCGGAGCTTGACGTACTATGACGTCAACTCGTACGTGGCTTGCTCGAATGGCCAGGCAAGCTGCTACTTGATTGAACGTGTGCACGAGAAGGCGACGGAGGTGGCGTGTCCGACTGAGAACTTCCAGCAACGGATCGACGAGGAGACTGCATACCGAACGCAGGTAGCGAAGGCTCCAGTGGACGTTGCTGAAGATGACGGTCGCCGTCGGTTATCCCTCATCGTGGTCTCAACGACTCGCACTTGGGACGGCGGTGTCGTGTGCTACGAAATGAGTAGCGAGTTCCCGTTTCAACCCAAGCAGAAGAAGTACATTCACCTGGCCATGGGCAAGTACGAGAACAGTACGAACGTGCGTTTTGTGCCCTTAGCCACGTGTGAAAACGAGCGTCTTTCGTACTGTGACTCGTGTGCGAATTGGGTGGACTTCAAGCACCCGACGAGCGGTCGGGACTGCAACTCGAGTATTGGCATTACGGACGAAGGTGCTCAGGTCATGAACCTCGCGGATCGGTGCTTTGTAGTAGACGACGAGCTCAAGACCGTGTACGGCTCGGCCATGCACGAAATCGGGCATTCCATTGGCTTGTACCATGAACACCAGCACCCGAGCCGCAGTGTCGCTGTCTTTTGGGACGCGATTGAACAGGGCATCTGGAGCGAATTGGCCATTCGTGACGTCAGTGTGGGAGGTCCTTACGATCAGGAGAGCGTCATGCACTACCCAATGTCGTACGGCTTTTGCCAACCGAATTTCTGCAACAACTCGACTGTGAAGACCGAGTGTGTCGAGGAAGGCACAAAGTTCTGCAACTTGAACGACGAGGACGACGATTGCGTCGACATTACCAAGGACATGTGCAACAAGACGGCCACGGAAGCCATCGGGCAGCGAAAGGATCTCAGTGCCGGCGACGTTGCTGCAATCAACGAGCTCTATCCGACTGCAGCCTGGCCGGTATCGAAATCCAAGATTGGCGTCTGAGCGCCAACGTTGGTTGTGATTGTTTCAGCAGCGTTTGAGTCGGTATCGTCGTTTGTAGTGGTTCGCGGTGATTCAGGGCATGTCACGACTCTGGTGCAAGTTTCTGTAGCGTTGCGAGGAGCAACGAGTGGATTTTGTCCCAAACTTCATGTCATACACCGCTTTTGTTGTTTGTTTGGAGGCCAGGCAGCGACATTCCGATCGTGTTCTAAACGCTTTTCACGGCCATTACAGCATAGACTTGCAAGCACCTTCTCCTCCTGTATCACTGCACCAGCACGTCTAGAATTACAGCACCACATGGATGCCTCCGTGTCAACCAACAAGCGTCGCACAACACTCAAGCACCGCCGCTTTTGGCGTCGGCAAAGCGCTCAAACACCTTTACAACCTCTTTTACAACACTTACGGATCCATCGACTCGCGCGCAAACATCTCTTTGGCGATAATCATGCGCTGGATCTGCGACGTGCCTTCGTAAATCTGGTAAATCTTGGCATCCCGAAAGAGTTTCTCGACCGGGTACTCGGTATTAAACCCCGCGCCGCCGAAAATCTGAATCGCGTCCGTCGCCACCTTGTTTGCATGATCGCCAGCAAAGCGCTTGGCCATCGACGCAAACATGGTATTCTTCCGGCCGCAGTCAATCTCATACGCAGCTTTGTACGTCAATTGACGACCCGCTTCAATGCCTGTAGCCATGTCCGCCAGCATAAACTGGATCGCCTGGTGCTGGGCAATGGGCACGCCCATCGTCTTGCGCTCCATCGCGTACTTACGCGCCTCATCAAACGCGCGACGGGCCAGGCCCACGGCGCCAATCGCGACCGGCGGCCGCGTGATATCAAACGCCTGCATGGCAATCTTGAACCCGTAGCCAGGCGCGCCCAGGACGTTGGCTTCCGGCACGGCCACGTCTTCAAACGTAATGCCGCGCGTGTCCGAGCACCGCTGTCCAATGTTAATCTCCTTCCGCCCGATGCTGATCCCAGGACTATCGGCATCCACGATGAAGCCAGTGAACGCCTTGCCCGCGTTCGCGTTCGGGTCCGTCTTGGCCAATACAAAGAACCACTTGGCCACGCCGCCGTTCGTGATCCACATCTTCGAGCCATTCAAGACCCACTTGTCGCCGTGTTTCGTCGCTGTCGTCTTGGCGCCAGCCACGTCGGACCCCGCGCCTGGCTCCGTGACGCAGTACGCGGCTTGCACCGGCTCGTCGACGAGCTGCCCGAGGTACTTTTTGTTCTGCGCGTCCGACGCGGCGACCAATAGCGGCGCCGTGGCCAGACCGTTGGCTTCCATGGCGGTAGCCATCCCCGTACAGCCGTACGCGAGCTCTTCGCCGATGATGCAGCCGTCGAGCGAGCCCAGGCCGAGGCCGCCGAACTTCTCCGGCACGTGCGTGTTCACGAGGCCGAGCTCCCACGCCTTGGTGAAGACCGCGTGCGGGTACTCCATGCTCTGGTCGTAGTGGCGCTCGTGGGGGATCATCTCGTCCCGTGCGAACTTGCGCGCGAGCTGCTGGAACTCGCGCTGGTCGGCCGACAGCTTGAGCGAGAACGCCGACAGCGTCGAGTCGTCCGTGTGCGGGCGCAGGGCGAAGGAGCGCGCGCCTGAGAGACGCGGCAGGAGGCGGCAGGAGGTTTTGCTAGTGAAGTGCAACATGGGTGAAGAGTGATGGTCGAAGGGCGGGAACCGGGGGAAAGGGAAACGTGCGTGCGTGCGAGTGCGCAAAATCCGAAATGAGTGCGCACTGGGCTAACCCACGACGTTTCCTTTTTGCCCGCAAAAAGGAAACGGAGAAACCGACGTGGAGGATGCGACATGTGTGCGCAATCGAACCTTTTTTTTGCCGTGTCAGCACCGAGCTTACTGCGTGATATTTGAGTATTTCAATCGGATACACAGCATTGTCTATCAATCTATCGATCTATTCATGTAAATATTTGCCTATCTACCTATCGATCTATTCATGTGTCTGTTGATCTATCGAACTATTCATGCATCTATCTATCTATCTGCCTATCTATCGATCTATTCATGCATCTATCTATCTGCCTATCTATCGATCTATTCATGCATCTATCTATCTGCCTATCTATCTATCTATCTATTCATGTATCTATCTATCTGCCTATCTATCGATCTATTCATGCATCTATCTATCTGCCTATCTATCTATCTATCTATCTATCTATTCATGTATCTATCTATCTGCCTATCTATCGATCTATTCATGTGTCTGTTGATCTATCGATCTATTCATGTGTCTGTTTATCTATCGATCTATTCAAGTGTCTATTCACCGATCTATCTATCTACCTTGTCATGTATCTATCTATCTATCTATCTATCTATCTATCTATCTATCTATCTATCTATCTATCTATGTGCCTATCTATCTAGCATACTTGTGATTTTATCTAAGTTAGCTGAACATAATGAGAGGATGTAGCTAGAGCTTGAGTTGTGTGATGAACCTGGGGGGGGGGTGTAGAAAATTGACTAGGTGCAGATGAGGGCAAATTTAATTCTGTTAGGTTTGTTCTTACTAGCACTGTTTTTCTTCTACTTGCTCCTAGCCATGCTTTCCACACTGACCTCTTCTCTGCCTCTACCTGGATTTTGTTACAACGTGCAACCGTTGCCCATCCATCCACGCCGAGATCTGACAGCCGTTTCATTAAGCCCATAAAAACCTTTCTGGAAAGTCCGATTACTTCCATCGTCTGTCCTTACCTTTTCCAACACTCCTCCTCAGATGCAGCTATCTTCAGCGCACCATCAACACATCACCACTGCCTCTTGCACCTCATCGCCTTGCATCCTAATCAATTGCATGATCCTTTGACTAATGCGACAAGCACATATGTGCGCGTAATATCGGGAGCTTCGGTGGGTCCAATGCTTTCTTGAGCAAGTCCGCAAGCATTTCCTCCGAGCGCACGTATTGCGTTAGAGCGATGCCGCGCCTAGCATAGTTACAGACAAATTTGAGCGCACGTATTGCGCGAGAACGATGCCGCGCCTAGCATAGTCACAAACGAATTTGAGCCGCACGTCGATGTGCTTGACCTTGATTGATGAAGTCTCGCCTTCATGTTGCTTGATGCACGCCTGGTTGTCGACATGTATCAACCTATATAAGGCCGGCACCATGCCGATTTTACCCAACATCTACCTCACGCCGAGTAATTGCGTGATGCCTCGGAAGCAGCCGCAAATTTTTCCTCCATAATTGACAATGACACGCCGCCTTGTTTTTTCGCGCTCCAGTTCAATAGCATGCCGTTACGCAAAATGATGCTTCCCGTTGACGACTTGCGGTCCTTCTTGTCACTAGCTGAATCTGCCTCGCTGTATGACTCAAGTGTCGGAGTGTCTCGGTCTTCGATTCTTGGTTTCACCTTTAACTTTAGTCCTTGAGTGCCTTTCAAATAGCGAGCAATTCGCTTTGCCAATTTCCAGTCGTGAACGCGTGGCCGGTGGGTTTGTCGCGTAGCTTTATGCACGGCAAACGCCACATCTGGCCTCGTACAATGCGCCACCCACAGTAGGCTACCAACAAGCGACCGGAAATTCTTGATCGATGGCGTTGTAGCAGTGCTTGTTTCCCCGAGTAGCGCACTGTCTTCATCTTGCACCTCATAGCAGTCTGCCCCAATCGAAGCAAGAGTCGGATTCGCTTCATTGAGTCCGTGTTCACGCAATAGGTCCTTGATAGCCTCCTCCTGATCCATTATATAGAAGCCATCACCGTCAAGTGCCACTCGCATACCCAGAAACTTCAAAACACGTGAGAAATCCTTGATCGATAGCGAACCAAGACTGGCGAAGAAATGATCGACTGCCACAACGCTAGTGCCGGTCGCAAGCAAATTATCGACATACACGCCGGCCACGACAACATCTTCATCATCTTGTTTGCGGTACAGACACATGTCCGCAACAAATTGCTTAAAACCATCCTCCGTGAGTCGCTTGTGTAGAAGCTGAATCCGTAGGCGCCACTCTTGCTTTAAGCCATATAGACTTTTACGCAAATGAAGCACCACATCATTGTTTCTTTCGCGCCGAGATTCTTGAGCGTCTTGTACTCGATGTCCATATTTGGAGGGACTTGCAAATAAATGTCAAGGTGCACTTCTTTGTCCGCCTTGACATAAGCATTAGAAATATCTCCGGTCTTTGCCGGTACCTTCCACGTCGCCGCGAGTGCCAGTATCACTTTCACTGTCGACATGTCCGTGACGGCAGCGAAAGTGAGACTGTAGTCCATGCCTAGGACTTGCTCGCTGCCGCACGCAACCGATATCGCCTTGAGCCTCTCTGTATTCCCTTGCACGTCCGTTTTGGTTTTATACACCCATTACGTGTGTAAAACGTTGCAATGACAGGGCACTTTTATATCTTCCACACACCGTTGTCTTCAAAAGCCGTCATCTCTTCGTGCATTGCCTTCTATCAGGCCTCGCGCATTGAGCCGCGCATAGCTTCGCCGTAATTCTTCGGGTCTCTCTAGAAGACATAACTCACAACGTCTGAAATCTGAGCCGAATCCTCCTGGTCGCTGGCTGCAGCTTCACGTGTCGACTTTGATCTCGTACCATGCGCCTCACGCTTCCAAATCTTCTTCGCCTTGTGAGCGCTCTTGGGTATATTTTCTGAACTTGCGACCTCACTCGTAATCACTTGATTCTCATCATACTTTAATCTGCGCTGCAGCTGAATGTTTTGCTTTTGCCGCATTGAGCGTCTCGATTTTCACGACGTGCTGAGTCGTAACTTCCTTTTGTAAAAACACACGAAATCCCAACCCGCTGCTGATTCCAATGATGACTCCGACTTGCGATCTCTGTGCCAGCGAGTTCTTCTGTGGGTCCCTGTACACAGCGCATATGCTCCCAAACACAACGGTCCCTCGAAGATCGGGCGATTTCTTCGTTAAAAGCTTGATTGGCGGTGCTCGTCCTGTATTTGATCGCGTCGGGCTTCTATTCAGTGTAAGCCGAGTATTCGACTGCGTCTCCCCAGAACTTGAAAGGGAGTTGACTTGCGAGGACAACCCGGACACCATGTTAAGTATCGTCCGATGCATGCGCTCAGCTTTGCCTTTGGACGTCTGGTTCCTTACTTCGCTTATTTGCCGCGCAATTCCTGTGCGCTGGCAGAACAGATCAACATTCTTATACTCGCCGCCTCCGTCAGTTCTCAAAACGTGTATCTTGCACTCGAACATGCGCTCGAAGAACAGCACGAATCCTCTAATCCTTCTTCGGTGCTAGGAAAAAGCGACATTATTTCGTTTTGTGGTCGGCGAAATTCACCAGGTAGCGATTACCAAGTCGATCTCTTGGAATTAGCGGACCTTTTAAGTCCGAGCAAATAACTTCACCGACCCGATAAATAGGCGCGTCCTTCCCGGTGTCCGTCCGGGACTGTTTGTTCTTCGTCTGCTTCCCTTCTTTGCACGAATTACAAACGGTCCGAGTGTGGTTTGTAATCTTGACACCCGAACCAGGTGTCTTTGCCATTCGCTCGATCGTGTCAAGGACAGGTGTCTCATACGTGCATGGAAATGCATAAGTGATCCACTCTGCACATCGTCTGCTGGCATACATGACCCTGTGTCGAATATCAGCGCAAACAAAACATCTCTTGGTTTTTTTTGCGTCACTGATGTTTTGACGTTCAGCACGTCCGTCTGCATACTGACGTCAAATGCGATCTCCCCGTCACTGCGTCGCACAAGGGAGAGACCTGATCCTCTGAAAACAAGCCCAAATCCTTTTTGCTCGTGTTTCCCGTACGATACAATGTTGCGCGCAAGCTGCGGCGCCAGGTAGACGTCGGTAAGAGTGATCATACGATCTTCACCGTTTGCAATAACACGCAGAAGGACACTTCCAACCATCGTGATCTTGAGATACTTGCCGTCTGCCATCGAGATCTCTTGATCACACTCATTGGAGTCCTGCATCAGCGAGAAATCAATTACCAAGTGCATACTTGAACCGCTTCCCAAGAAAAAAAAAGGTCCAGTCGTTTGATTTGCTTTCGTCAGCATCTTCGACACTATTCACGTACTCGGTCGGCGCCTTGTCATTTCTCCCGCCGCAAGATCCACGCCTACGAGATTTGTTTTCGCTAAATGCAACAACCATGTCGGCATTGCTAGCCTTTGTGTTTTTGCCAACGGTCATTTCTCTCTTGCCCCGACAATTGGCTTGAATGTGTCCCGTCTTGCCACACCCAAAACATTTGCGTGACCCTTTGCGCTTGGACGACGCCTCGACATGTGTAGCAACAATCTCACACATTACCGGTCTAAACCCAAGCTCAATTGATGTCGCAAAGTGCGTCGATTCTTCGGCATGTCTTAAGTAGTCGGTCCATGCGGGGTCGTACTTGGCTCGCATCACGTTCATGAGATCAGGCAAAGCGTGATGGACAATATTGTCCAGTACCAGTGAGTCTGCTTCTCCTCGTGGATCACTTACCGCGACTAGGTACAGGAAATGCTCCGCCCATGACCTTTTTGCCTCCTTCTTTTGCGAAAAAAGTTCCATAGACTGGCCGGCGGTACTCGTCGTCCTTAACGTCTCCAACAAGCGTCCCATCACGCAGTCCCGTGTTGGGTTCTAGTTCCAATAAAAGCCGACTTGTTTGTGGTAGTACCTCTCGGCTGTTCCGGCTAGGTAATGGCCGAGTAGGTCGACCTTATCGTCTTCGCTCCACCGAAAACCGCACGATGCCCCGGCCAAGTTGACTTGTCGTAGGAACGTCTTCCCTCGATCATAGAAACCGGATCCCAGCCACGACACAACTCTGTTCCATCAAACTTACGGATCGTTAGCTTGCGCTGGGCTGCCGTTGGTGTCGCATAATTCACCGCTCCTTGCTGCTGAAGTGGCGCTGCTGAACTTGCCGCTTGGGGAAATGCGTCGTCAGCAGGGTTGCGCCTCCGCTCTTGTTGCATGTAAGGCATCGGTTACCGCGTCACTAGAGATGAGAACAACGATCCTCCGAGTTAGGGGACTGGACGCAAGTTCACATTTCGATCCAGCCGCGCTCAACATCACAGCGGGCAGGGTTGATTGATCACTCGGAGTTTCCGGAAGCTATGGAAAGTGGCAAGGTGGAGGGTGTGGCCTTTGACGTTGACCCACCGTCGTCGATATCGGACTCATGGGAGAAACTTGTGAGTCACGATAATGTAATTGTGACGCTGCATATTGGCGCACTGACGACCTAAGCACAAGAAAAGGTGGCACGTGACTTAGCTTGCAAGGAGAATAACGCGCTGGCAGGAAAGTCGTTCAAGGGTGCGCTCAATGCGCCGAACATTGACGTTGGCAAGCGTGGGGAGCTCATGCCGTAGCTGTCACTAGCGGAAAACTTGGCAGCAGACAGGCGCAGTTGCTTGACATCAGCCGTTTGAAGCGCGTGCGTGTCATTGCGGAAGGGCCTAGGGTCACGCCATCAGAGCTTTCGGTCCAGTTGATGCATAGTGTACTGAAAGGTTGGCTCTCGCACATGCTGGAGGAAGAAGTGACGTTTGCAAACGCCAAGAAGCTAGCAGGCATCATGGGCATCCAGACTGTAGAGCACAAGCATGACGAAGCTTCTGGCAGGAGTTTTTTTGACCAGCTTATCTTCATATTCGAGAAGGAGAACGAGACATCGAAGACGATCACGAGCATAGTGTTCAGCAAGAACCAGTTACGTTTCGTGTCGTTTGATGGTGTCCCGATGGATGCCATTCCGAGCGGATCCATGCTACTGTTTAATAACATTGACCAGCCTGGTGTGCTGCACAAAGTGACTTCGATGATAGCAAGGCACGAGATCAGCATTGGCTGTTTCGGTCTGGCACGACTTTTTTTTGGCACCGCTGCTGTTAGTGTGCTGAATGTTGACGAGGCCATCCCCGACACCGTTGTAGAGGAACTGGGAAGGCTGGGCATGCTCACCAACGCGGAGGATCGTTGTTCTCGCGCTTCACGAGCCGCTGGTTTGCGCTCTGGTGAGTTTCTAAGCGCGTCGATTGCCATCGTCCTTGCGCTTAAATTCGCGCCGAGAGCAGATGAAAACATGTCGCTTTCTATGGCACCGCGCATACGCTCAACCCTGTCGATCCGTATCTGGGAAGTATCCATCTTCTCGTCCGGTCAGAGAGGGCGACGGCCGCGAGAATCTTTTCGTCGGTCGCCGATCTCCTTTCGTGAGCCGGCGCGTCTCGAACGACAGCCGCAGTGCGCGGCGGAATAGCTGCGCGTCCTAGCGAGGTAGTACATGAAGGTGAAGCCTTGATGTCGTCATCTTTAGCCAATGGGCTTATAACCTGTAGGAAATTGACAATGTGCAGATGAGGGCAAATTTAATTATGTTAGGTTTGTTCTTACTAGCACTGCTTTTCTTCTACTTGCTCCTAGCCATGCTTTCCACACTGACCTCTTCTCTGCCTCTACCTGGATTTTGTTACAACGTGCAACCGTTGACCATCCATCCACGCCGAGATCTGACAGCCGTTTCATTAAGCCCATAAACCTTTCTGGAAAGTCCGATTACTTCCATCGTCTGTCCTTACCTTTTCCAACAGGGGGCAGTTGGTACATTACCCACGCGGCTATTTAAACTGTATTTCGATGATTATAAAAAGTACTCCTTTTGCACCGCAAGCAGCAGGACCAGCACTCGACTTCATCGTTCGATAACTACAAGTAGGTTGCACATTTCAGAACAAAGGAGAATTATCGACCGAGGCTTGTTAGGCCCGGGATTGAGGCATCGTCGTTATGGATCCGGATCGCGTCAGTTTAGAGCAGGACGTCGACCTGCTTCATAGGACAGAACCTACATATTTTAGCTATTTGGTTGAGTGAATGCGTTTGATTGGTAAAAAGTTCATCGGATTCATGCTCAGCGGATGTTAGTGAATGAAATATTGCAACATTTCGTTTGGACTTTCAGAATTAACAACCGAGCCACCGCTGCAATGAATATCACAGGAGACAACACATGTAGAAGAACGTATGGCAGTTATCGATAGAGTACAGCAGGGTTCGTGTATGGATCGGAATGTCTCGAGCTTGCATCATAAATCGATTAATTATAAGTTTTCGTTTTTTTGTTTTCGGTCAGACGCGGATGAGCAGGTCAGCCTTTTCGATGCGGCTAAGGCTCAAGCTTTTATTGCGAGCTTCCTATGACTTTTCTCCTGTCTCTTTCTCTTCAAATTTATCAATCTCATTGGTATCTCCTGTCCACTTATACTGGCGATACCCTCTTTCCGGTCCTTCGCTTGCAAAAAGTCTGTGGCAACTCTGTATCCTTCTTCTTCAGCGGTAGAGGTACCGACATCTTTCTTCGTGTCGTCATTTACCGATGACATAATGTGAGCAGGATATACGAGGCGTTGAAGAGACATAGCGTTGAAGTGTGAAGGCTCAAGAATTCTCAATCAATCTCAAGTTTGTGCACGACGCAAGCAATATATCGGAAATTGCATGTCGCACAATGGAGGCATAGCTGTGCTCATTCTTCGATTCTATGGTGGTGGCACAGTCCATTGTACCTATTCGCGTTGGTGTACACTGATTCCATGACAATATTCCCCTAAATTCTGTAGCGTTCCTGTGAATAGTGTAGTAAATCGACTTCCTTCGCAGTGATAAGGCCTTAAATGAGATTAGCATTAGTTAGTTGGTGCGGATGATGCTGTCCGGCCGTGCTGACCAAGAACGCTGTATACCCATCACCAGCAATGTTTGTCACCATGCACCGTTCCTTTACAGGATTCTAACGCTGATCGATAGTACTATTGATCTCCAATAGTGGTAGCACGCAGCTCTTCGCACCCTCTTGCCTTCCCTGTTAGTTAGCACTTTTTTGACTGTAGCGTCAAGTGGTCGCGTATTGTGTAGCTCGCCCGCAATACGCTTTATCATCTCTTGTGGACCGTGGCAGCATCACATCCAAGTCCCATTTGAGAATTCGAAGTGCGTACAGCTCTCTGAAGTAATCGCCTACGGGGTTCGGGGCATTTCAACATCATTTTCTCGTTCACATCAAAGCTCGCTTGCGATTTTACATCCCGAAACTATACGAAACTGTAGCAAACCGGCGACGACACGACTTCTGGAATGTATCGACAATTAGACCTCGAGCTCGCTATTAGCATGTGAGAGAATTGTGCCAATCGATTCGACCACTGCTATTCTAGTATGTGCGCACTTCTGATCGATGAGAACCGGTACAAGAACTTCGCGCTACCACGAGAAATGCACATACCCTTCACCATACTAAGAAGACTCCTTACACTAAACAGAAAACTGCGGGAGACAAGAACCTGAACCTTAAAGCACAGCTTAACAAACGCGATGCTTGCTTACAATCTGTCGCCATCACCGCTGTTCCAAGCACTCCTACTAGCAAATGTGCATCGCGTCACCCATCGTCCCCGTTTAGCTCTAGTCTTCAACACGCTGCGCTTATCCAAACATCACCTTGTTATCACCGACCGTCGCGCGCATGTCCTCTTTCCTTCTAGTAACTGCGACCCCAAAGCACCCAGCACTTGGCTGGCTTGCCGCTAATAAAGCACTTGGTGTCAGCAGTGACAGGGCTCTCCTCGTTCTTCTTGAACGGAATGCACAGCGTCTTCGCAGCAGCACTAGTCGCCGTGTTATCGGCCTCTTCCTCCATTCCCATGAGAGCCAGCGACTCCTCACGGGACTTGGTCTTGACAATCTCCTCCCACTCCACCTCGTCACAGAACGGAGTCAGCACCATACAGCCATCCTGAAGCGCAGGCACAAACTCCTTCCAGTCCACCACCTCACGGATGTGACTATCACGCTCGGCAGTAGCACGCTCAAGCATACCCTTCTGAACCTGCTCAAGGAGAGCTGGAATGCGGGTCGCCAGCTCAACCTCCAAAATATCCTCCTTGACCCCGTTGTCCCGACGTACCACACGTACCTGTTTCTTGGCGATATCCTTTGGACCCACCTCGACACGAAGTGGTACACCTTTGAGTTCCCAATAGTTATACTTCCAACCAGGAGTGTACACACGACGCTTGTCCGCTTCGACTCGGACGCCTGCACCGGACAAATTCGCCACAATCTCGTCGGCTTTCTCAAAAATCTCATCGATCTCGTCCTGATTTTGATACGGAATAGGTACGACTACGACCTGAGTTGGTGCAACACGAGGCGGAAGCACAAGACCCTTATCGTCGCCGTGTACCATAATCATGACACCCAGTGATCGCGTGGTAAACCCCCACGAGTTCTGCCACGGAATCAGCTTCTTCCCGTCTTCGTACTCAGCAGCAATGCCAAACATCTTGCCAAAGTTCTGGCCAAGCATGTGCGACGTAGCTGCTTGAATCCCACGACCAGTTGCAGGGATAAAGCCTTCAATTGTCGTCGTATAGTCGGCACCAGCAAACTTTTCCTTCTCAGTCTTGACACCCTTTACCATCGGTACAGCCAGCAACTCTTCGTAACAGGCAGCGTAGAAATCCAGCACAGCACGCACCTCGTCGTCAGCTTCCTCCTTCGTAGCGTGTGCTGTATGGCCCTCTTGCCACAGAAACTCCCGCGTACGAATAAATGGCGTGGGGTTCTTGAACTCCCAACGGACGACATTGTTCCACTGGTTGAGCTTCATTGGCAAGTCACGATGGCTACGGATCCAGTTCTTAAACGCCGGGTACATGATGGTCTCACTCGTAGGACGAATGGCAATGGGATCCTTCATCTCCGAGCTCCCAGACTTGGTCACCCACGCGACTTCAGGAGCAAACCCTTCCAAGTGATCTTTCTCCCGCTGGAGCTTCTCTTTCGTCACAAACATGGGAAAGTAGCAATTCTTGACGCCAATGGCTTTAATATGACGGTCCAGAAACCCCTGGACGCGTTCCCAGATCTCATACGAGTACGGACGCAGGATGTAGCAGCCCGAGACATCGTAATAATCAATCAGTCCCGACTTTGTAATTGCGTCCGTGTACCACTCAGCAAACTGGTCGTTTTTTGTCACTGACATGCCTTCGTTCGTTTTTTGTTCCACGGCCTTTTTCTTTGTCGCTGCCACTTTGCCCTTCACAGTCGATTTCCCTGCCAAACTTGATGACGCAGTGCCAGCGTCGTCAAGTCGAGCCGCAAAGTCCACGATGATTGGCTCGTGGCCATAATGCTGGACGAATGCCAGCAGCTCTTCAGGCTTGAGACTGTACGTCTGATCGTTCCGTAATGGGTGGCAATGGACCTGCACCGTCTCCACGAGCGCCTTGTCCAGCACGAGACGAACCACGTTGTGCACGTCGTGCATGACGCACAAAGGCGAGACGGAGCCTCTCGTCACGTTTAGCGACTCCTTGAGCACGTCTTCGGACGCAAAGCGCAGGTTCCATTTCTGGCCGCCAATGCCCGCAGCATGGAGCTGCGCGCCGAGTCTCTTGGTGTCAACGACAGTGTGACACGCCACTGTCACGAGGAAAAGCCCCTCTTTTTTGTCCTTGAACACCAAGTTCTTGGTCGAGAGACCGGGGAGATGCGACAGGGTGTCGACCACGTCTGCTGTCATCGGGAGCTCACGGTGCTCGTGTTTCTCGAACGAAATCGAGAGCGCCGTGAGCGCTGCCGCGACCTCGACGTCGGCCATGGGTGGGTGATTGGGTGATTGGGTGGATGAGTGGATGGATGAATGGATGGGTGGGTATTATTTAATTTGTGAATTTGTTTTTAGTAAGGAGGTCGTGAAGGACGCGAGTGGTGGTCCCCAATCGTCGGGTGTCCGGGTGAAAGAGGGACAGATTGGGAATTGCTGCGTTTTTTTGACTTGGAGAAAGTATGGATGAGGTCGAAGGGGATGGAATCGAGCGGAAGTAGCGGAACTAGGAGCGTTGTTGCTGGTAGATGGCGTGCACCACACAGGACGAGATGGGAACTCTGGAAGTGTCGCGTTTTTGGTCGGGTGATGCATTGTGGTGTTACTTCAGTAGCTTGAACTTCCGTGACGCAGGGTAGTCAGTTCGTTCCGCGTAGTTGGTGTGTCCACACGAAGTGGGTCCATCTTGTTGTGCTAACGGTTAAATTGTGCACCATCGCGCAACTTTACGGTCTGCGTCGGACACGACGTCACAACGTGACGGCAGATAGTGCATAAACAATCGGACGATCGAGCTGACCAATCGCGTGGCTAGCTGGTGGTAGAATGCCGCGATAGGCCGTTTTATTTCTTACCGGTACCGGTATACGCAAAGGGATCGTTTAGCAGCTCCGGACGCCACGTACGACACGTATGCGCTCATTTCTGCATTGACGACTCGAGATGATGCAGCTCTTTTTTGTACCGATTATGATTGTGATGGTGGGTATGACGTCTGTGGTAAACGCGCTGGATCGAGAGAAGCGGCTGGAGGTGCTGAGTCCCGTGCACGGTCGCATCGTGGATTTCCAGTACGATGACTTGTTGGAAAACCAGCAGGAGCGTCTGTGCTACGACTACGAACTCACGCAGGAAGAGAATCCAGTGTGCGCTTCAAATGGCAAGAGGTATTCGAATCCGAGCGTGTTTGAATTTAACAAGTGCTTGATCGCGGCGATGGACCAACTGGACATTCAGATCGTGGACATGGAGATTTGCCGAGACGCGGAGTTGGAAGACCTCGAGCACCATGACAAGTGAGAGAAGAGGGAGGAAGCGAACAGCGTCACGAGGAGCACAAAAGACGTATTCGTTGATCAGTTGAAGGTCAGAAACAAGCACGACTCATCTTGTCTGTGGGGCCAAGCTTTTCGGACGTAGTGATCGACCACCTTCGCAGTAGATTGCGGTAGCTTTTCAGGCATAAATAATTCGCCATTGCGTACTGTTTTGGCAGCATTGCAACACGAAGTGTCTCTTTCCGGTCTCGTTCCACGGGCGTCTTCTTCGACATGTTCACGCGTGCAGGTGACTGCTTCGCACCGGTATTCATTTATTTATAGTGCAAATCAAACCATAAGTGCTGTGAATACGCGACACTTGCACCATACGCTAGAAACCTGCCACGAAGCTATTCCAGCAGCTAATCGTCAGTGACGTTTTTGTTGACGGTCATTCCATTAGTTTCCATCGACTTGTGGCTCCGAACGCGCGCGCGAAGTAGAATGAGACAGAATGCTTGGATCATAGCGACTCTGGTACTTGTCGTTCTTTGTCAAGTTACAGCTGCAGCGACTGACTTGGAAAAGATGTTGCGCGTGGTGAGTCAAGTGCACGCTAACCGCAATGTCTACGTCAGTGCCGAAGTGATCAGAGGCAGAGATTGCGTTGACACTGGAGAGACGAAGAACGAGCCCGTGTGTGCCTCGAATGGCGTGCAATATTTGAATGAAGAAGTGTTCAAGTACCACAAGTGCGTGATCCAAGTGACGTGGGACAAGACTATTGAGCTTGTTGACATGAAAATGTGTGCAGAAGCCCTGCAAGAAGACAGCGAGCATCCAAACGTCTCGGGTGCTGACTATTGACTGCATAACGTAATTGGGGTTCCGGTGCTGACGGTGAGGGGATTCGACTGCATGAAGAGGAGATGATATTCTCGACGCGGTTCCACTCGCTTTTCATTTACTGTGATGTGGCAGATACGAATGGTTGGGACAGCTTGTTGTTTCGTTATTATTTGACAAGAAGCATGACCGTTCAGACGACGAGTGGGATCGTGTTTCTGTCGAAGTAGCTGAATCGATAGACAGTAGCTGGTTTGGACCGCACATTCGATCGTGGCGTCGCGACAAGTAGGAACAATACAGCACTTTTGGTCTCTTGTGTAACAAGTATATTGATGACAAGCAGTACACGGTTGTAAGTCGAATTGTTTTATACAGGAAGTGTGTTCGTCCCGGGTAGATCGTTCGTATTGCACTCTCCAGTCAGTAGCAGTTAGTCACACTGATTTTTTCACACACGTAAAAAAAAACTCGTCTTGCTGGCATGCCTTGAATCTCGTTAGGGTCACGTGTGCAGCCTAATCCAATATGTAGTAGCATTGATACAACATCAGCTTGCAAATGCAGCACCTTGGGATGAAGAAACTAGTTTTATGTCGCGCTGGAAACTTTGACATCCCTTTGCAGACAGCATGTGTACAGCAAATGATGACGACAAAGTCCATGTAATGCATGATCGATCTATAGGATACATGGAAGGCTCACCCGAATGCAAATCCGATAGGTGCGAGGAAGTACATCGCCATCTGATTGCTTTCAGCTCATGGCGGCATATCCAGCATGTCGGCGATTTACAGCTTGGACTCCGAACGCTCAATCCCAAACCTTCATCAACTCGATAGCAAAGTTATCGGCACTCGCTGTACTTCGGCTCGTCCACTTTGCTTGTCGGATTTATACTTGCTTGTCTGCCATGAGCATGGAGTTTGATCGATCAGTAAGCATCAAGTGCTTGCTGTTCGCGTAAAAACCAAGTCATGATGATTAAAGTTGCGTTCTGGTTGCAGACTGCTAACTATGTATCATCAGACTTGACGACGAGCATTTCTTCCATTTACAGGCTACACTCATAGTACAACAGCGTCTGACAACGAAGTTTTTGATGTCATTGCAAATAGCTACTTGTTACCAACCACTGTTCATCACATCAAAATGCATCTGCCTCAATCGTGGGTACTTCACGATGGCAAGCATCATACGATCGATTCATCCCTACCACCTTTCAAAAAGCTCGTTATCACCCTCACCACGTCTTCCCCTGCGGCAAAGCCTTTACTTTTGCAAGTCTGTCCTCGATCATGTCGTAACCTGAAGGTCAATTCAACAGAAGATATCGTTCCTGTACTGCGTACCCCGAGTTACGAGTGGTATAGAGCAGCCTTGTCCTGTAGTTGGTCATTTGAGTCATGCATACCTTCTTGTAGTACTTCCATGCGGTTGTTGTGCAAACCAGAGCCCTCTATCTTTGAGTGCTAACGATAGCAAAGCGACAATCTCTGGTGCAACTCCGTAGGGCTTTATATTCATTCTTCACTTTCTCTGGCTTCGTCAACCTTCGATATACGGACGTGAGTGCCGTCCTTTCACGTGCCGCAACGATCAGACCAAGTACTCGACAATTCTTGTACCACAAGGTGCTCTTACGGAGCACATGACGTTCCCACTGAAGCAATTAGTATGCACACGACGTCGGGATGCCGTTACAACTTGGTGCACTCGTTGACGTTGAAGCGAGAAGTGGACGCACGAGGTCTGGGTACTGCTGCTCAATCTGTTCAGCGCACTGGTTGACGTTGAAGCACACGGAGCTGATCCGAGTATCAAAAGCAGCAAAGACCCCGTCTTCCGTGTTCTCGAACTCCAGAAATCCCAGCTGCTGATCAATGCTGCCTTTCATGCGGTCTTCACCAAGCATTGTGGCTGCAACGCGCTCAGCGTTCACCGGTTCAATCTCAAGCAGTTTTCCCAGCTCTTCAAGCGATATGCTGCTGTAAACACGACTAGCAGCCAGCAGATTGTGCTCGAGGAAGGCATTCTCGAGCACCGTGAAGCCGTTCGGCAACACTGCTTTCTGGTGCGGCAGCAAACTTTGTTCAAACTGCACAAGCTCTGGTCGACGGATCAACTGCTCCATGTACATTTTCTCCAGAATTGCCACGTGTTCACTGTTTTTCACGCGTTCGTCTTTGTACAGCGTGCCGAGAAGACGTGATCGCTGCGGACCAGCAGGAGCCAAAATCGCGCAAGTGACAGCTTTGCTCAAGAGCTCCAACAAATCGTCTGGGTCCACCTCGTCCGGCTTGGACTGCGAGAACTCATAATAACGTAGCGCTGCATCAAGGAACTTGCGCTTCGAGTCGAGAATCCGCGCATACGAGACCTGAAAGCGCAGACGAAGCGCCCAATCGTCCACGTTATGAATGAAGCGCGACGCGCGATTGATAAAGTTCTCAGCATCCACGGTCTCGTCTTCCTGTAGATACAATTCCGCAATCTTGACGTACTTTTCAATTTTCTCCACGTCCGTGTACTGACGGGTCGAGCTCTCGAGATTAATGGCAGCCAGCGCCTTGGCAGCTTCAATGTACTCTTCTTCATCCATGTACATGGCCGCAAGCGACTCGCGAAACAGCACATCCGGCTCCTCGAACGACAGAACGCGGGACTTGATCTTCGTAAGGCAGAAACAGATGAACTCGAGCTTCCACGAATGCGCCTCCACATCAATGGCACCAACGACCGATGCCAAGTGCGTGATCACCTGCAGAAGAACAGGGCGCAAAAAAGTGTGAGTTTGTACATATGGACAGGTAGCTTCGTGTTACATCGTACAGCACGGGAGATCACGAGCGGCACATCTTCTCCCAGCACTAGACACCAACCAAGACTTCACATGAGAGCTCGATCGGAAATGTACTGAAATAACATATTTTGATTTGACCCCTCACAATGCGTTACGATAGTCTTGAGACTGGTCACGTCCTGCAGATGGTTGTCTAATAACGTCTAATTATGACAAATCAGTACATGCGACGACAAATCATCTTATTTCAGTACATTTTGATATCGAACCTTGAACGCTCCAGTCTTCTCCTTCTGGTCGGCAATATGCGAGATCTACACGGCAATCGAATGCACAGTCAGCCTTACACCAACCAAAACATGCTTTTCTACACAATCGTGTAGAAAGTAGAGAGAAAAGCGATGGAGTGGCGCCACACGTACGCGCTGAAGCTCGAGGTCGATCATGACGTTGTAGAGGTTCTGTGTCGAGTCACAATGAGAGGATCAGCTCACTTTGTACCTATTTCGCAGTGTTTGCTAAATACACAAGTTGGACACACTCCAAAAGGCGTCAACAATCTCAAGAGAGTACTTAGTGGACTAGTACTACCAGCAAATACCGGTTTCCATCATGGATACACCCATCAGCTTCAACTTGCAGGGTAGGGAGTCAACCCCCTTGACTACAATGTGCTGAATTGAGTGACAGTCAGAAAGAATGACAACAGCGCAGCAAGTGAGGGCAAAGAGACGTAGTAGGACTCCAAGTCAGCTTGAAAATACTCGATATCCACATAGTCCCTACTTCTGTATACAAGATGGCAAACGCACTCACACTTACTTCACCCCCCCCGGTTCGTTCTCGACAAAGTCTGTCTTCCAACGTCTCATTCATTGCTCGCAACCAACGCTTTCGATCGAGACATAGCTCCCAACCAGTACAGACACAATCTTAACTCGGTGCTCGCTCGCTCTCTCGCTCTCTCTCTCCTTCGGCTCCTTACAGTGCCGAGTTCTTGTCAATGGTGAAAATGTCACCTGCTGCCTTCTTCGACCTGCTGCTCCGTCGCTTCATGTACACCGCACCCACAACAGCCAGCGCGACGCAAGCCGCAGCCGCAGCGATGAACGGCATAGCGTTCGACGACGATTCGTTGCCATCTTCAGCCGACTTGAAGTTTACCGCCTCGACACTGAAAGCGGTTTGTTCAGCAGTATTTTGACTGTCTTCGCTGCCAGTAGGTGACGTTATAGTACTGTCGGTAGGTGAAGAACCGGCAGCAGACGGCGACAACGTCAGCGCGTCATCCAAGCCCGAAAGCTCTTTCCCCTCCTCCTTCTCCTCCGACCCCAAAGGCTTTTCTGCTACGTCCGGAGTTTCAGACTCGCTCGTAGAAGGAGCTGACGAACCCGAGAGCGTCTCGGTATCACCAGCATCTCCTGCTTCAACATCAGGAACGGGAAGCACGAGGCTGCCAAGATCCGGCTCGTCAGATTCACTGCTGCCAGCTAAGGAGAACTCTTGGCTGCAAGAATCGTCCTGACCAGCAATATCAAGCTCCTCGGAGCAGTCAGAACCGGCAATGTCAAGCTCCTCGCTGCAGTCCGAGTCAGCAATGTCAAGCTCCTCAGAGCAGTCCGAGTCAGCAATGTCAAGCTCCTCGCTGCAGTCAGAACCGGCAATATCGAGCTCCTCAGAGCAGTCAGAGCCAGCAGCTTCCTCGACACCAGTGGCAGTGTCGGTTGGCAAGTCTGTCTTCGTATCGGTAGTAGCAGTGTCTGTTGGCAAGCTCGGGAGGGTACTCGCTGTAGCATCCGGAGTGCTAACGTCCACTGGCTCCTCTTCATCGCCGGTCTCCACACCAGGTTCTGCTTTCGTAGCGGTGTCAGTCAACGTATCTGTAAAGTGGCATCAGAACGTAAAGAAATTGGCGACAGAACAACAGTCGAATGCTCAAATAGACGTACCAGTCGGAGTCGTAGCGGCACCGCCACCCTCAACAGCAGGCAAGATCTCGTCGACACTCTTGGTAGCCGTACTCGTCTCGGTTTCCTCACCGTTTTCAGTCAGTGAGCCTTCATCTTCCGTAGGTTCTTCTTCCTCTCCATCTTCCTCCGTCTTCGTAGCCAAATCACTGATCTCAAGACCACCACCTCCTGGCACATCGCCTCCCGTTTCCTCCGTCTTCGTAGCCAAGTCATCGGTCTCAGGACCCGCTTCTTCCGTCACACCGCCTCCAGCTTCCTCCGTCTTTGTAGCCAAGTCATCGGTCTCAGGACCAGCTTCTTCCGTCACACCGCCTCCGGCTTCCTCCGTCTTTGTAGCCAAGTCATCGGTCTCAGGACCCGCTTCTTCCTCCAAACCACCCTCAGCTTCAGTTTCCTTGGTGGCCGTTGCATCGCTCTCAGGCTCGGGCTCAGCGCTCTTCACTATGGGCTCTGCAGTGGCAACCGGCTCAGAAGGCGTGTCTTCAGGTTTGTTCCCTTCAGCAACAGGGGTATCCAACGTCGTGACACCGCCATCAACGGGAGTATCAGCATCGTCTCCACCACCAGCCTCGGTCGTGTCCGTCAAAGCACCACCACCAGCAACCGGCTCGTCCGATTCCGACCCTGCAAGATCCAGCTCCTCACTGCAATCCGAGCCAGCAATATCCAGCTCCTCACTGCAGTCCGAGTCTGCAATGTCCAGCTCCTCACTGCAGTCCGAGTCTGCAATATCCAGCTCTTCACTACAGTCCGAGTCTGCAATGTCCAGCTCTTCACTGCAGTCGGAGCCACTGACCCCTTCCGTACTGCCAGCGAGCGAGAACTCCTGACTGCACGACGCCGAGTCAACAGCTCCATTCTCGTCCTCTTCCGACGTGACGTCCTGGTCCTCCGCTTGACTGCTGTCCGAGCTCAAGGTATCCAGCCCACTCGCCTCGTCTTCCGTACCCGTGTCCTTTGCCGCCAACAAATCCGGAGCAGAACCGGCAGCTACCGTCAAGTCGTCCGATAACCCCGGAGAAGTAAGTTCCGAGAGGGTCGACCCCGTCTGCGTATCGTCCTGCAAGGGCGAGTCTTCAGTTGCTGTTATTGTTGACGGACTCGCGCCCGTGTCTGCAAGCCCCGAGGCGGCAAAATCAATGGCGGTCACGTGCTGCGTAGAAAAGAGCATGGTCGCTGCAATGACGAGACTCGTCGGAACTTTCATTTTCGTCCAAGGCTCTGCTACGTTCGACGTGGAATCTCAATAGAAGACAAGAAGCGCCTCGTCTCGATCGATTTCAAGGCCTTTTTTTCGGGTGTGGTTCAACTGCCTCACTCGGCCCTCAAGTGCTCGAAAGTGGTCCAATTGAAGAGTGAGCGGCAGTGCTGGATGGGCGCTCACTGCCTCTTTGGCTCGCGTTTGTCTTTGCGGTTTGGGCCTCTTAGGGGTGGGCGACTCGGGGCGAGAGAGAGAGAGAGAGAGTCAGTGCAGCCGTCTGAGCCGCCCAGTTGCTACCGACGGACCAGCTGGTGCTGGCGAAGACACGACTTGTCGTCCGTGTCGTTCATGAAGTTCCTATTGCTGTGGGAGTTGCTGGTGTCTTTTATTTGGTGGTCAAGTCGTGGGGTTGTTGCATCCGCGTGTCGCTGCTTGACGGAGTTCTTGCAGTGCTTTGATCGCTCAACAAGAGGCGAGTTTCTGCAAGACCTTGGCGTATCTACGTGCGGCTGGTGGCGGCGAAAATGCGCGACCAGATCGAAGGGATTCAACACGGTCGAAGAGAGAGAGAGAGAGAGTAGGAGGCCTCCGAGATCGCGGCGCGATTGGCAGCGTCGAGAAGTCGACGAGGCGATCGCCACGAGCGAGTTGAACGGCAAAGACGTGCACGTGTCTCAACGATTACGGCGAAGGCGTGGCAAGAACATGCTCGTCGCATCGATCGGCACAGAGAATAGCGCTGCTGCTACTGGTAGTAGTAGGACTATGCATGCATTCCGTTGACGAAGGCAGGCTACCGTGCAGGCGGATGCGGAGGATTTGTGTCTTCTACCATTAAAGGGTGGCGGCAAAGCTGATCGATCCGAGCCCCACGATCGTCTATGTTCGTGCTACTGCCCGTCTTGGCTCCCACATATCGGCGTCTGCGTGGCCACAGACGCCTTGTACGTCGTCAGTCGACGTCGGGACGAGTCATAGCTTCACTCGAGGCACTGCCTCAGCTGAATTTTTCAACATGGAACGGTAGTAGCCTCGTTGAGCCGAGCATTTCGATCAGCACCTTTGATTCTCATTCTCTCTCTCTCTGGCCATGCAGACGACCAGCGCTTTTTTCACGTGACTACATTGACGTTCGTGGCGAGCCGATGCCAGCCAGAGATCCATGGACAGTCTGCTGTCTAGCGCCGCACAATCGTTGCGGCTGAATTATTGCCGACAGAAGACTCGCCTGCGAACCTGTCTTTACCTCAATTACTCACACGCAAGCGCGACGTCGCGACGCAACGCGTTTCTCGAAAACAGCGGGTGGGTGGCTTCGTCAACTCGCCACGGATCTCCTCGGCTACAACCTCAGCGACATGTCATTCGTTCGGTCACGTTGCAGTACTGGACGGACGGACGGACGCGGCGGTTGATGGGTCCATGGGTGACAGGATCGTTCAGTGAACGAAACGTCTGACCGGTCAATTCAAGCAGCTACCTCTAGACTTGCAGTGCAAGGTGAGGCGAGGCGCCCACTCTTTCGCGTGAAGGTCATTGCCGTAGAGTTCGCATTCTTAGATCTCTCGTAAACAAGTAACGACCACGCAGTCATATGCTGCGTCGAGGTCCTGGAGATTTGCACAAGGGGGTAAACGTTTAAGCAAGTACAGCGCCCGTGCACGCAGCGAGCCGAGAAGGAAGCATTAAGGGTGGTAGAAGGTGGTGACAGGGGGGCTACTGGAGCTGTGGTCGATGTACTACTTACTGCGGTGGTTCCAGTGAATGCGTCGATAACTTACCCGTTCCATTCGATGCCCAACCGCCATCTTCGCCACTCGTTTAGCACGGCAGAAAACGGGTGTTTACATGTCCACGGATGTCACTGCATCTGTTGCACGCCATGGTGGTCTTCGTCGACAGCTTGGATGGTGTAGATGGTCGAGTGAGGTCCTGCTGTCGTTGTGGCTCAATCGTGTCAGCCACGAGCTCCCTATGAGTTCAGGTATCAGCGTGAACGCATCTGTACGTAGGTGGGTATGTCCGGGGTGAAATCGTGACGCCACTTCTTGTCAGTGAGCACTACAGCGGTGCAGCCTCATGGGCCTATCTGATGCAGTTACCATGGAAGTAGCAGCATCTGCCGAGCGCAAACTCCACCCACCGCCACCTTGCGCCATCGCTACTGTCCAGCAGGTCGCTGCTGATTTGGATGGCTGCCAGTATCTAGAAAAAGGACCCTGATGCTACTCATTCCACTATAGCGGGAAGCTCCGCAAGTCTCCAGTCTGAACGTACGATAGGCGTACGGAGCGGTAGCATCGAAGGAGACACGTCAGGACAGCAACAGATGTGCGATCCAGCTCGTGGTAATCTCAATGCGAACATGAGCACTGGTTCCAAGGCCGAGTCTCTTTCAGCCACTCGAGTGTCTTCTAGTCGTTGTGTGAAGTCCATGATTTCCTAGTTTTGTTCCTGTGAACCAAGTCAAGAGCTTAGAACGTCCTTCGTTCGATGACTCGCATACACATGAGAGAGAGGAGATATCCTGCGTGGAGTAGTATCTGCTAGAATGCAAGATAGTAATGAAGAAGTAGTTACCCGTGGGGAGGGGTGCAGTGCATCAAAGACTGGACCCCTGCCAATGACGCTTGTGGTTGTAAAGCGCGCTCACGCAAGAGATATGTATCGGTAACCTAGAACTAATCAAACGACAGGAAGCTGTGCACATTGATCGTCATCTAGCGCTTGGTTATGGATGGGCCTCAGAATATGATCAGATCGTGCTTTCAAACACGATACGAGCGGGGGTGGTCGAGTAGAGGCGTCACATTGCACGGCTTATACTACGTCGCAAAGCAAAGCTCACGAAGGAGGCACCGCCACTATGGTTTAGATATCGGCTGGCACTGGTAATCTGCTTCGGCTAGTGACGTCAGCTTTGCACAGCATGCGGAGCTCGCAACTTTGCAGTGGAGCTGGCAATCTGCTGCTGTCACTGCCACGCCGTCGAGCCCAATGTTTTTACCATTGGACGATGCAGTATCTACTCCAGAATCTGCCGGATGCAACGATGAGTTGCGTTTTGCGATTCAAAAGACCGTGATTGTATGAGAACGCAAGGAAGAAGCTGCAACAGAACACCAGCTGACAACCGATGTCAAGCTTGTGCTTCCCGATAGTGTTCGAAGCTGCTTCGACAGGTTGAATTGACCGCATACTACTACTACAACGTGAACGAGTGTCTGCAAAACGGTTCTCAACGTCCGTGGATCAGCTAAAAAGCGCAAGTTTATGTATACTCGTGTGTTCGAGCCTCTTCTATCCGCTGCTGTGCTGCCACGTCTCTGTTCCTCGCGTCCGGATAATGGTCTTCAGCTATACACATGCTGAGTCCAACATAAACCGATTCGAGCGGTCGTGACCACTGGTAACTTGTTACTTATCATTGGCCTGGTCTGTAAGGCCTTGTTCTGAGCTAGTCAATAGTGCTACTGCTCCAAAACTAATAAAGCTGTGTTTGCGTGTGTTTATTTACATTGGTAAACTAGGTGATCGACCATCTTGATTGATGTATACGCTGCAAATATGAGCCTGTCATTTTATCAAGAGGCCACTCGATTCGGCGAGAGGGAAGAGGGAGACTCAGATACTTTCTCAGATATGGACGACAGCGATGAAGATACGGATATGTACGCAGAAGAAAAGGCAGGTGTGATCCTGAAGAAATTTGCGCTGGCACATCGAAGATCGGAGGGAGATGAAGGTAAGGATGAGAACGACGAGTACAACGAAAATGACGTTCAGACGGTCGATGATATCGCTGGACAAGGTCCAGTTGTATCGAACCAGTTTGCACCGAACCTTGCCGAGTTTTTCAGCCATCCATCGCAGACATTTCCAACGCTTGTGGCAGGGCGAGCAGCATTGCGTGAAAAAGCGCATTCGGAAGGGTTTACAATCAAGACGTTGCGTGAAAACAATGCAGACAAGCAGGAAGGAGAGTGCAGTCAGCGGACCGGGAAGGAGTACCATAAAAAGCTTTACATTCTATGCATATGCGCGGGAAAGAAACCCCGTGATGCCGCGGTAAAGTTGAAACGAGGAGCGCGCAGGCGTCGGACGGGATGCCAATGGACAGCCGAAGTCAAGAAAGTTGATGGAAGCTATAGGGTCAACACCTCGGGTGAGCATAACCATGCTGCGACGAGTGATATACGCATTTTCCCGGCTGCTCGCAGAGCCACCCCTGAGCAGGAGATCTTTGTTTCGAATCTGATCAAAGCGCGTGCGTATACTCATACGATTTTGGACAATCTGCACGATACATTTGGCGATTCGTGTCTGCTGATCGCGAAAGACATTCAAAACCGAAAGCACAAGTACCGAGAACAGCAAAAAGCTCGATTAGCAGAAGTGAACGGTCCGACGGCCGTAGATATCGTTGGACAAGGTCCAGTTGTATCGAGCCAATTTGCACCGAATCTTGCCGAGTTTTTCAGCCATCCGTCACAAACATTTCCAACGCTTGTGGCGGGGCGAGCAGCATTGCGTGAAAAAGCGCATTCGGAAGGGTTTACAATCAAGACGTTGCGTGAAAACAATGCAGACAAGCAGGAAGGAGAGTGTAGTCAGCGGACCGGGAAGGAGTACCATAAAAAGCTTTATATTCTATGCATATGCGCGGGAAAGAAACCCCGTGATGCCGCGGTAAAGTTGAAACGGGGAGCGCGCAGTCGTCGGACGGGATGCCAATGGACAGCCGAAGTCAAGAAAGTGGATGGAAGCTACAGGGTCAACACCTCGGGTGAGCATAACCATGCTGCGACGAGTGATATACGCATTTTCCCGGCTGCTCGCAGAGCCACCCCTGAGCAGGAGATCTTTGTTTCGAATCTGATCAAAGCGCGTGCGTATACTCATACGATTCTGGACAATCTGCACGATACATTTGGCGATTCGTGTCTGCTGATCGCGAAAGACATTCAAAACCGAAAGCACAAGTACCGAGAACAGCAAAAAGCTCGATTAGCAGAAATGAACGCTTTAATGAGGGAGGTGAGTTCGGATACCTGAAGTGTTAGGCTCTTGTTCAAGCTGATCCGGGATTTTTATTCACGTACTAGTCCATTTTTTGCTTCGGTTGAATTCATTCTACCTTTTGTCTTATCGTTACATCTTGTCATTGTCCGACGCAACTTCTTCTTCTTTTACCAGTTTCCCTGCTATCCCGCATTCCAAGCATATTATTGCCAACAATCGCCTGTAACATGTCATAAATACCCTTGGCTGGCGGCACAACTATTTATCTTCGACAGACACGCACAAAACTCCAGAAAAGGCAAACATTCTGGCATTTTTTGCGTACTTGCTGTCTCACTTGCTGCTAGCTAGTCGTAGATTTGCCGTACATCCACAACTTTTGTGGTGGTGTGTCTAAACGACACTCGTATGCGTGGGTTAGTTGCAAACTACTGCTTAACGCGCATGAGCAACTATACAGCACAGTCCAAGGACTATACGACGCGCATAGGAGTGACAAAGTGCATGCATATTTGATGAGTCTGTTGCAGTAAAGAAGTTCGTGTCGGAAGATGCGCTTATCTGCATGTAATCTAGTTTTCGCAATCAACCCATGCACTCGCTGGAGCTTGGATACACACATTGCAAAGCAGGTGGACATTGGACAACAAGATGTCGGCTCGTGCACACTCAAGTTTAGGATTTATGGATACCAGCTTTACCACGGACGACAGTTGCACATTCTCTCGGTAGCTGCAAATCGGTACCTATCTAGTGGTTGCTGACGTGATTATTCATCAGATCAACTTGCAGTGCAAGCATAAGCAAGTATGAGCCAACAACCACTCGATTCAACATATCAAGTGTATCGCCGACTTGACTTCTCATGGACAAAATATCTTGACTAGTGATCGCTATGGTTGACATAGATAAATTTGCGACCTTTTTTGCATTGCACAGAACTTAGTCAATATATTTAAATGTACACGTATATATTTCCACATGTAAATCTAGTATATATGTATCAGTACATATACATGTATATCTTCGAAGCCAGTGTGACACATGCCGTTGATCCCCGATGCTGCCTTTTGACGAAGGGGTTGCCGTGGTAACCGCCGCTCGTAGCTCTAAAAACCAGTCTAATTCCAATTATTGCAGTAGATATCTTTAAACCAATAGAAATCCAATTATTGCAGTAGATGATGTAAATTTGGCCTGCGCAGGGAGCTAATTATATTACGCGTAATTTACGCGATTTGCGCTACAGAATCAGAACCAAATAGTGACCCGCACAGATCGTTTTTGACCATGCACGTCATGGTCAAAAACTTGCTGTGTCGTCGTCTACAGATGACAGCTCTCGCTCGCTGCGCCTCGACGGCTGTAAAGCAACCTGGTCGTGTGGTAGTCATTACGTCAGGAAAAGGTGGCGTGGGCAAGACCACTGTCACGGCGTCTATGGGCTACGGTCTGGCGCAGCGTGGCTTTCGGACGTGCTTGATTGATTTTGACATTGGACTGCGCAACTTAGACCTGCATCTTGTACGTTGCGCGTCGATTTTGACACGCCGCGCGAAATTCGGTCGTCTATTTTTGTTTAGTAATATTGTTTTTGACAATCTGGTTTCAACGAATTAGGGTTGTGAACGGCGGGTGATTTTTGACTTTATTCACGTGATTGAAAACAACTGTCGTCTGAGTCAAGCGCTGATTAAAGACAAGCGACTGGACCGACTGTCACTTTTAGCAGCCAGTCAAACTCGGGACAAGGAAGCGTTGACGGAAAAAGGCGTGGAAATTGTCCTAGATGAGCTCAAGTCACAGTTTGACTTCATCTTATGTGACTCACCTGCTGGTATCGAGTCTGGTGCTCGACACGCCATGTACTTTGCAGACGACGCACTTGTGGTCACAAATCCCGAGATCTCAAGTTGTCGTGACTCGGACAAGATGATTGGCTTTATTGCAAGCCACGCACGTCGGGCCAAAGAAGGTCGTGAGCCTGTTGTTCAGCGACTGCTCGTCAATCGATACGATGCCAATCGTGTCAAAAATGACGACTGCCTTTCGGTAGACGATATCGAAGAGATGCTAGGGCTGCCAGTGTGTGGTGTCATTCCTGAGAGTGCTCATGTGCTCACGTCTTCGAATATGGGCCAGCCAGTGATCACTGTCGAAGGAGAGAAGGCAGCAGTAGCATTTGAGGACGCGGTGGCGCGTTTCTTGGGCGAAGAGCGCGACATGAAGTTCTTGGAACCGGACGCGCCCAAGGGACTGTTTCGTCGGATTTTCTCCTAGCTGGTGTACAAGTTGACAAAGGTGAGCACATTTGTGGATGCTGTATCCTCATGATAGGTTGTGCAAACATCCGTGGAAGTTTTGAAGCATCGACGGCTGTCGTAGGAGCACCGACGACTGAACAAAATTGTAAGCAGTGTAAGCAGGTTCAAGCGATGTGACCATAAAGACAAGTTCAACTAGATGACCTGCTATCAGCGTCGACTCTTTTCCTTCCCTCCCTTCTTCGTCAACGCGTGCAACTCCTCGGCTTCTTTCTGCTCTAACTCCAACACGTTCAAGCGCTCCAGTACTGTACATGGCAACAATCGTTAGCAAAGACAATCGCCAGCGTGTAGCGTGAGAGTCGTGTGTACCTGGTAGCAGCTCCATGTAACGTGCCTCAGCTAACAAAAAACCTTCCCGCTTGATTTCCTTAATGCTGAGCTCATGTTCCACAGTGCTGGGGCGCTTCATCACCTCTCTTGCCCATGTCGCATCAGTACGTGCAAAGAAATCACGTAAGTTTTCGCCCATTTGGGGCGTGCGGTCAATGTCGCCGAGTCCCAATTGCTCCTGTAGTTTCTCCATCTCCGCGCGAATCGTTTTGCGATGGCTCTCCTTTTTCACTTTGACCTTTTTCTTCTTGTCTTTCTTTTCCCTCTCAACTGCTGCATCAACGTCCTCCCCTTCTTTCTTGCCAAGCACAACCATGGCTCGTTTCACAGCTTTCGCCAACCCCTTCTCTTCCCGTGCCTTCATGCGACCAACACTGTCTTCCTCGTGATCGTCCTCCTCGTCCTCATCATCATTATCGGAGTCATCGTCGTCGTCATCGTCACCGTCCGAGGACTCCTCTGTCTCACTCATTTCACCCTTCCACACTTGGTGAGACATCGTACCAGGCAGCACCTGCTTCCATTCATCAAGACGTTTTAGGTCCAGCGACCAGCAATCATCAAGCGTTATCTCGCGGTCGCCATCCTCTACAACACCTCCATATACGTAGAGCGTGTTTCCGCGAATCATCAAAGCAGGATTGATGCGCGGACAAGGCGCAGGAGCTACCGGACCTTTCTCCTCTACTGTCTCGGGCAGTACCTCGTCAACAGGAACAACTGAGTCGTCTTCCTCCTCCTCTTTTGTTTCCTCTTCTCCCTCAAGCTTCGCATCGATTTTTTGCTTGGCAGCACGTGTTTCTAGTGGTGGGCCATCGCTGTCTCCTTCCTCGACACCGTCCTTACTCTCCTCCTCCTCCTCGACGTCGTCAACGTACACGATGTTGCCCTCATCATTGACGTATCCAAACTGCTTCTCCGTAATCGCGTCAAAATCCTCCACGTCCTCGTCATCATCATCTTCTTCGTCATCCCCATCAGCCTCATCACTGTCGCCGGCCGTTGCATCGTCGAGCGCTCCGGGCTTTTTCTTGCGTCGGTGCTTGCCGTCCGTAGACTTCTTGCCTCGAACCTTGAACTCAAACCAACGCCGACGATCCATGTCGTACACAAACAGGTCATTGTAAAACGTAGACTGCATCGTGTGACGACGCTTTTCTTCATCAAACACGCCTCCAAACAGAATAAAGCGCTGTTTGTGCACCGTTGCAGCTGCTCCACTTCGTGGGCTCGGTGCCTGGCCTTTACGTGACAATTTCTCCCACGTAGGTGCCTGGTGCTTAAGCACCGGAGCTAGATTCAGCGCCCACAGATCAGAGTACACTTTGCCTTCCGCTTTTTCACCCACAATCTTCACCTTGGCGTATCCTCCATACATAAACAGCAGATCTTTCGACGGATGCACTGCCATCTGACAGCCACTGCGCTCCGCAGGTACCTGTCGATGTGGCGGATACGTAACCTTTTGCCACTGCATCGACGCTAAATTGAACAAATACACATCGTTGAACCACCTATAACCACATCACCAACACCAGCAAGCAAGTAAGCCGTTTTGTCCGCGATCGTCAGCACCCCACGCTCATTGTCTGGCACGCAAGTCATCTATTCACGCATCAACCCGAGCGCACGTACTTGGTCTCTCGCGCCGCCTCGTAAAAGCCGCCAAAGACCACGAGGTAGTTCCTCCACACCACCATGCGATGGCCACTCCGCGGCGACGGTCCACCTTTCACTTGCACTTCTTCCCAGGCATTAGTTTTCAAATTCAGTCGCCACAAATCACGATAGTGATGAAACTGCTCGGCCGTCGCAAACTCGCCTCCAAACACGTAGACATGGTCTCTGAACACCGCAGCTTGGTGACTGCATCGAGGAGGGGGTGTATGCATCGAGCAAATGAGTTTCCACGCCGGACCATGTGCTTGTTTGGCTCGCATTTGACCCCCAGAACAAGCAATTAACTCATCTCCGCCTTGAACCTCGTCTCCGACCACCTCATGCACGTCCAGGTTCCACTTGAACACATCATTAAAGCACACGTTCACGTCTCCATCGAAATACTCGCCGCCAAACAGCAGCATCTCGCCCGACGGCAGCGTCGAGAGCGTGAAATTCGCACGGGGCGAAGGCGGCGGCGCGGCGTCGATTGTCACGTGCGTGCGCGCCGCGTCTTTCCTGCAAAACTCTTGGAGCAGCACCTCAATGTCGTCTTCTGTCTGGTCCAGCGCTTTGCGGTCCTTCTTGGCGCTCTTGGCGCTCTGCTTAAGCTTCTTGCCCGCCTGCCGCTGCGACTTGTCCAGCGTCTTCTTCTTGCCCATTGGTCTTGGAGAATATTCTTCTTGTTTTGTGATTGTTGGGGCTTGTTATTGTTATTTTTATGGATTTATTGATTTATTTCCTTTTTGTTTAACGGAAGGGAGGGGTTGGTGGGTGGGTGGGAGGTGGTTTTCGAGATGTGGGTGATTGGTTTCGAGTGGTGGGTGATTGGTGTCGTGCTGGGTCGTTGGTAGATATGTAGCGATAGGGAAGATGGAAATAGAGTAGAGACGATTGCTGATTGGTAGTAAGCACGGTGAAGAGCACGCGGATACAGTGACGGATAGCGTTACTTGTTCAAGACGACCTATTTTCGTCGGCGACGGATGTAAAGCGCCTGTACTTGAGCACGGAGTCGTTCGACGATCTGGTATCGACGCTGGAGCTGTTCGACTATGATTGCGTCATCGCATGGGTCAACAGGGAAGGCAGGCACAAAAGCTGCCTGATCACGTGCCAATGATTGCGTGCCCTGACACATTGTCGGCAAAGGCATATCCAGCAGTCTGCTGCATAGTGCAGATTTCGAGCCATAATTGTAGCTGATGGTCATTGTCGTCGAGGTTGTTGAGAGATCTGTAACGCGACGCCGGGCGCAATTGGGCCGTTCGGAGCTGCTGTTCATGCATTTTGTGAGGACTTAATGTGTATATTGTACCCGAACTGCTACTAATCTATCTATCATCAAACACTCTCTGCAGGAGCCCTGCGATATGCAAGCTGCATTCGGCCCTTCTCTTTGTTGCCGTGTTTGACATCACACGCTCTCGAATTGCCTCGTAAACAGACGCAGGTAGCAATCAAAAGAGCTAAATCCACCGCAAAGCGTATGTATCGATTACACATCAGCAATAGATGATCATCGACGTGCTTGCATGCATGATTTGGCCAGGGCCGCGCACTTTTTCTTCCACAAATATGCGATGACGGCCTCATGCGAAAGACCGGTTTACCTGATCATTTAGACGCGTAAATGCTGCCAATGCTGCTATCAAGCGAGGAGCTCCAGTGACGATGATGGTACGTGGCAGGTAAGAAGGGAGCCAGAAATCTGCAGGCTCGCTTCATCGACTGCTGAATATCGCGCCTGTGACGAATCGACACCTGAAAAAGGACTAACACGATTTTGCTAATGTAATAACACGCAATTGCCTTTCTCTAAGAATTCTAGCTTTGCATGCATATGGAGATAAATCATGAGAGTCTTCTGCACACAGCGTTTGAGCTCAAGCAGCGCTGCAGATAACAGTGTACGTAAGAAGTGTTTTGGCACCGATCCGTGACTGTCTCTGCAGTACGTAACGATGGACCGGTCGTGTGAGCGATAGTAGGTTGCTTGCAATAGCGAGTTGTCATAACGATCGCTATGATCGTTTCCAGCGTTTGGACTGAGACTACAATGGTCATTAGAGGTCTCCCGAAATAGGCAAATGTTCATCACCTAATCATTATTGTCGTCATGATCATCACGAGACTACGATCGATTGTTGTTTGCATCACTTTCTATGGTCTCAGTGCCAACACCTTGTGTCCGTCAGCCCTGTCTTGCTCTGTCATACGTTCAGCCTTTTGGTCTCCCTTGTTTGGCTTTGCACACTCAACTGGTCGCTTGTTCATGCTCCATTTTGGCCTAACAAGCCAAAGGGGTGCCCGATTGACTGCTGTGACCGGACGTCTCCATTTCGCCCATGGTTTGGCAACTGCCATACGATCGAAAGAAGATTTTGGTTTGTTCTTGTACGCTTGTGCACACGAAAACTTGATTGGACAATCTCTGCTTGTCATAACTTCGATGACCGCCTTGATGGGAGCACTCGTAGCAATGAACACCACTATGGTAACGTGCTCGTTACACCATGTTCTTGGCACGCTTGACACAGACTTCACCAGACCATCCTCAGACACATATTTTGCAGTACGAAGCAGTCACCGCGACAATGTCGCGCTTTTAGTTACTCTAGTCGACACGCTATTATACATAGTGCTACCTGCGTCGAGATTCAGGGATGGCATTAGTCGCGGTAATTTCTGTCAAAGTGGTAGCTTCTCAAGTTGACGGAGCTATGTAACAGCAGTCTTTGCGATACTAACAAATGAAAAAAGGGTGGGCCCATGCGCGTTCTTTGTCCGAGTCATTTTTTCGGTGCCGTTAGTACATTTGGTGTTCGAACGACAGTCCTCTGACCTCCTCGGCAGAGGACTACACATCGTCGCCAGGGCTGCGTTGCTCGACAGCCTTTAACTGGATAGCACTGTAAACAATTGTTGGGGCACTGGACGCGATGGTTTCAGTATCTACAGCGCCACTGCCGTTGCCAACTTGTTACTGCCAGTAGCCGATTCAACTTCACTACAGGTCGATCCTTCATTACAATCCGTGGCCCCTACATGTCGCTAGTCTCGTTTAAGTCCAAAATGCATGACCTCATCATAAAGGCTGCGCTTCTTCGGACTTCGGTTCGGCTCGGTCATCGTGTTTGCTCCAGAATTCGGCGACCTCAGAGTTCACTGTCCTGAGAAGCACGAGCTGATCATAAGACCAGCATTGGCGACACGTGAGCAGACGGTTGAATGAGGTACCGTCGACAAGCTGCGCCGCAACAGATCTTGCTTTACCGGATGCCGCCAGCATCCCAGGTCAGCCTTGTGAACGTCCACTGAAAAGAACTTAGTCGACATCGAGTCGATTGTATTTCATTTAGATGCGAAAGTAGCGTCGTGATCTGCAAGCTAGCAGTACAATGGCTGCAGCACCTGACGTGAACAAATTTGTAATCGTGACACACAAAGCGCAGCCAGCCGAAAGTCGAGTCGAGATTACACGAACAAGATGACCATGAAGACGTCGATGAGCAACTGCAGTCAGACGTTACCCAGTGGGTTCATAGCAGCACAGATGAACGCATTGCGAACGGATTGCCGTGTCCGATTTGCTTGGATAACATCTTACCGAGCAACCCAAGACCATACGACCCGAAGCTCGAGGAGAACGACAATATCAGTGACGAAAGTATGGTCGCATGCAGCTTCGGGTCGAACACATCACACATAAACGATATTCTCGTCCGTCGCGTCGGCATTCGTGAAGATACTGTCCAAGCTGGAGTACTTGAACTGTCGAGGTCGGCAATGCAACACTGGACTCGCTCGGAATGTGAACGCCGCTATGCTCGTCAATGGTCTGGGTAGTACCATTACAACTCTGCCGCAGAAAACTACCAGTGTCGCGTAAAGAGCACTCACTTACAGGGACGTACTTGGGCGGAAGTACCCGTGATGCAACACTTGAAAGCCACAAGAACGCCGCAAACACACACCATGGGCCAAATGCTTTTGGAAGGTTTAGCATGAACCAAGTCAGTCCTGCATTTGATGCCGCACTCCACGACATGCCGAGCAAGACATAAGCAGCGCTTCCTAGCTGATACGGAACAGTGAGTGCCCTACGCTCATAATTCAGTATACAGTAATGTTCGTAGCATAGTCACCTTGACACTTTAGACACGTTCTCAATGTACAAAGTCAAAAAGTTGTCGATGCTTCCATGCATGTAATAAAGCGCAGGGAGTGTCGGGGGCTAAACACGATCGACAAAGCTAACAACCACCTTACATTCCGCAAGTATGAATCAATGCTAGCACACATTTGCGAGGCGATCAGCCTGTACATATCTGATGCAAGGCCGACAAGAAAAACAAGTGCGCCTTCTCGCGATACACCGAGTACAGGGGGTCTTGGCGTCTGCGCATGTGGTCACTGAACAATCCAAGCACAAGTCATCCGGTACACATCACAGTAAACGTATCAGTCATCGCTCCCATTGCATATGCGTTGTCAGCAGAAGGTCATATCTACGACGTTGGACCCAAAGATGCGTCACTCACACTTTGCTTGGTTTGAGTTGGCAAGTAGCCACAAGATTGGAACAGCACTTTGCTGAGCGAGCGAGCGAGCTGAAGTGCTCTCAGCTGACTGCAGAGCAAGCCTATGTAATTGATGTCGACATACAAGTGCAGTACTTCCAGGCGACTCATGACGCTGGGCCTCGTCGCAGATGTGAAGATGTCATTCGCGTCACCAATTAAAGGACGAACACTGGACGTGATAGGTACCCAACAGTGTATGCATTGCAAAGTTTACGATCGTTGTAGGGTTTTACAGTGATAGCGCATTAGCCCAACGCAGCCCCTTAGGATATGTCCAGCGAGAGTCCGTCATCGTTGCATCTCGCGTAGCACATACATCACCACGAGATGGTGACAGTACTGCCGTAGCTTGGTGCTGGAAGGTACCGCTTCAACGAAAGGCGTACAGACAGATGCACGTACGTCCCTTTCTCTGGCTGCGACAGACGCAACAACCTCATATCACAGTCATGCTGAACGACCCCGGTAACAACGAAACAAGCAATGAACACGGAACACAAGACCAAAACCGGAACGGAGACGTCATTGCATTACAACAAACACTTCCCTATTCGCTACAACCCCATGGTGGGATGTCGTACTCATGTAGCATCGAGAAAGTTCAATGAGAGGCTCCTGTCCCCAGATGTAGAGGTTGCCAGGCGATGCGCAACAGATTGGTCACGACTTTACTACAGGCAAGCTAAATGACCTGTTCTGTTACAGCATCTCTTGCAGCAGTCAATGAGTTGTTTGTCGCCATACTTGTTCCATTCCTGACATTTGAGCGTAATGTCAGCTCGTTTATCACTGGGGACCTTGTAGCAATCCTCGTGGTTGAAGCACTGCTTTTTGTTGCACTTGTCTTGGCAACACCTGTCGCCTGCAGGCTCGCATTGCTTGGTGTACTTGCTGGTTTCGATCGGACTACGACCAACACAAGTCGGATCCTTGCTGCAATCTCTGTTTGGCTGGCTGAGGGTAGTAGTGGAGAGGATCGCAGCGAGGGAGATCAGGAAGCTGCCGTGGATGTGCATGGCTGTCGAGTTCTTAGATACTTGTTGGTCTTGGTAGCAAGATGGAAAGTGAAATCGGGA